CAAAAAAAAAAAAAAAAAAGTACTAGTGTACAAAATATATTTGTAAAGGATGCACCCTTTCATGTGGTATCTAATGTGCATCTAATAACATGTTTTAGATAATAAAAGATGAAACAGAATTTAAGATTGTTTAGTAGCCTGAGAATTGTCATATAGCAAAGACAAAAACATTAGAAGTCCCTTCCCTAAGACTGTTTTTAAGATAAGCAATGTGGAATTCTGGCCACCTTTAGAGTTAGAACTTGAGGTTTCCATGTGTCAGTAATAAAGAATAAATAAAGGTGCCATGCTTTTTTAAGTGGAAAGCACCTTTTAATAGTTTATTTCATTAATGTTGTTGTCTGCTGTTAACCTTCCAACTCCAAAGCACTATACCTTGAGAGATGCCAAACTTTTGGGGCATTTGCTTAGATATTGACTGTGTCCATGCCAAGATCATATGGAGCTAACAACTCCATCGTTCTCCACTTCCACACAACTCTGGTATACTGTAGTTAGGGATGAGTTTTCTCAAGTAAATGCTAATTCTTGTTCCTCTAGTAAAGTTATACAAAAGAAACTCAAGGAGGAATTGTGACCTTGGAAAAAAGATATGTTCATAAATGTTCTTCACAAATGAATATAAGATTTAAGTAAACCTGTAATGATTAATATGTTGGTAAAACGTATAAAGACCAAACATTTCTTCAGCTTTTCTTTCTTCTGTTGATATTCATACTACATTATTTCACTATAGTACCATGAAAGTTGTGCATTTTAAGCAAAATAATGCTATGCCATGTGAATAAAGTTTATTAAAAATGATAATCCAGGAAATGCATTTCTTTTCACTTATGGTACAGGATGTAATCAAAATAAGCATATCTATGGTCCTTGCTGCAAGGTTGAATGCATTGAGAAATGCGATTGAATACAAATATGCAGGAAGACTATCATCACTTTGCCACAGTGTTTTAATTTGGGGGGGAGAAAAGGCAATACTGTGCAGCATGCACGACAATTCTGATTACAGCCTAGTCCAAAAATGCTGTTCTGTGGTTTGGCCTCCCAATTCGAGTTTTCTTTTTGGAATCTGTTCATGGCTTTCATAGCCTCTGTTGATGTAGAATTCATTTTTACCATTGCCTGAATAATCTGTCCTGTTTGTGGGAGGCCAGGTTGAGTCTTCTGCCAGCTTTTTTTGCCAGTTCCTATATTGACTTTTAGAGTAGAATCCAAATACTTTTTTGATCAACAGCCAGAGCTCTCGATTTTGAAGGATGGCATCCTGGAAAGTCAGGTGAGAATAACAATCAAATCGTCATGCACATGCACATCCCCCTGCAGCCAGACCCGCCCCCAGCTGCAGCCGGCTTCCCCAGGCCTTCTTCTGCAATGCGCTCATTGCTGCTGTGTCCTCAGTTACCTCTCCTTTTTCAAGTCCCCTAGTAATTTCCTTTAAGAAGTGAGAAGGTGCTTGTGTTCAAAATTTGCCAAAACCTTACAGCCTCTCATTTCCACAAATTTTCTAGTTAAATCCTGGCCAGTGATTTACTAAGAATTATTTTACTGTCAGACAGAAATGATAACAAGAAAAGTTAAAAAACAACAACAACATTAGTTCTGCTACTTGCCACCTGTTTTGAAGGTACCAAATAAAGCTTTGTTGAATGAATGGGTGAACTCTAGAAATTAAATGGTTGTTTTTTATTTGTTGAGTGTTTTTTCTTTGTCAGATGCCACACAATTTTCATACCTTTACAATAATAAAATTTATCAAATTTTGCATTCCTCTTTTGTTTATACTTGACTTTCTGTGATACACAATTTTTATGTAGCTATAGCCTTTAAGGTTTTTAGTTTATTGTGATAAGAATACAGCTACAGTATTTTTAATAATCATTTTAATGATTATCATTTTTTTAAATGCTGTATAGCTAAAGAACAAACTGTATCTCTACAACACTTATGTCTAATATTTTGCTACTATATCTAATGTTAAATACCTTCATACATGTAGTTGTTTTCTCTCCTTTGGGTTTTTTTTAATACAATCTCAAAAATGGAATCCTTGAGTTAGAGGATGAGAAATTTTACACATACTGTAATACAACGAGATATTTGTATACATATATAATTTTAACATGTGGTTGATCACTTTTCCCAAGGGATTCACATCACATGAATTTTTCTTTTTTAACTCTTCCTTTAAAAAGATAGCACCCAAGCCTTTTATTGAGTGGGTAAGGTCATTAAGTGACACTGAGTAGAAAAATACTATAGAGGAAAACCTTCAAGAGTAGGAATTGGCTAGAATGATCAATGGCTTCTCTTCTTCCTTAGGGAAAGTATTCTGAAGACACTAAAAGACCTCACTGAATTTTAGAGCTGGAAGGTCATGTGGTGTAGAGTCTACTGGATTAATGGGACTATTAGAAAAGAACAACACAATGCCTTTGTGTGAAACAAAATTAGAGTTAATTGATGTTTTGCTTTCTATGCAGACTTCAAAGAATTTTACATTGTTCTTCAAGGAATTTCCCCCCAAAGAACATGTAGCACTTTAAGAAATTCTTAATAATTATCATTTTGGGGGACTAAAATGGTTGTTCTAAAAATGAGTACCTTTGAGAATAAGACCTTTTATTTACTTATCTTTCCAGAAGAATATTAAGAGCCATACAGAAATTACTTTACCTCCACAAAAAAGGACACACAGAACTGGATGAGGGCTACCACCAAAATCAAGACCCTCCATGATGTTATGGTTGGGATGAGCTGTTGAAAAATAAATGCCACTGTAATTTTTTGGCATGCCTTACATTTTAAACATTCACACTAATTAATTTGTATATTTTGTAAACTCTGAGCTTGGAGAATGGGTGTTGCTTTGTTCCTTTAAGGATGAGCAAACTGAAGTACTCAAAGCCAATAAATAAATGAGAACAGACTGCCTCTTGGCCCGTGCTCCCTCTACTACCTCCATTAAAAAAATATGCTATGGATCACAAATGTGAAACAAGACACTTTGGAGCCTATGTGTCTCTCTTCATTTTTATCTTTTCAAAGAGAGAGAAGGCTGAGGTTAAATTGCTTACCAAATGATATTCTAATTATCTCAAAGCAAAATCTACTTGGAATTCATTCTTGAAGGAGGACAGAGAAATGCAAGTTTATTTTCATTGAGACTAGATGCAGATTTTCTGAACAAATGTTCCTAGCCCTAAGTCTAATGGCTTGATAAAAGTCAAACCCGCAAAACCCAACAGTTTTAAAAGATTGAAGAGTACAACTTGATCACTAAACGTACTTATTCAAGATGTGAGAACCTCAACTACCCATGGCTGCATTCACAGCAAAAGGCCAGTTACACAGCCCTTTTTCTGACCCCCTAGAGTAGAATATGGATGAATGACCATGTGTGGAACTGCACTTCCTTGACAACTAAAACCACAGACCCTCCATAGTACCAAAATGTTAACCATTAATCCTCATTCGCATCCTGATATGGGTTATTTCAAAGTAATACTCTGTCATCTTTTCCCCAGGTGGAGACAACCTTTATCAGGGATGTACAATACAGAATACCGGCTGGAAGGGTTGTTTGGAGAGGGTGGGTCAGATTCTAGCAGAGAATCTGGTGCTTTCTCTCACTACTACCACCAACCTGATCCAGGAGAACTCTTCTCCATCCCTTGTCCTGAAAGACACTTGATTTTGAATTATTTATGCAGTGGTCTTCCCCCCTTGCTTTGGAACTACTTGAAAGCAGTGATTGGATCTTACTAATCTTTGTAGCCCTAGTACCAATACAGTCCGGAGCACCATATTGTTTGGTAAATAGATGAATGGCTTGGGGGTTTCGTTTCCTAATTGTTTCTCTCTTCATAGCTTCTGTGCTCTCCCATATTCCTGCCACTGTCTAATTAATCTGTCTTGTGCATGCAGGTTTATTGCTGCACTATTCACAATAGCAAAAACCTGGAACCAACCATGCTGCTCATCAAATTGGACTGGATTTAAAAAAATACATGCTACATATACATGATGGAATATTACACAGTCATAAAGGACAAATTTATGAACTTCACAGCAACTTGACTGGATTTAAAGTCTATCATACTCAGTGATCCATCACAGAAACAAAGAACTGAATACCACCTGTTCTCACTTGTAAGTGAACCCTGAATTTTTATCATAATACTACAAGAAAGGGTTTGGCAATAGCAGGACACTGCCAGGGGTTGGGGGTGGCATCACTAAGGGTACCTGATCCTAAATCAGGCGAAGTGGGGACCAATGAGAGGCACAAACTTCACCCATCCGTAGACCACTTATGTACCTAATCTTGACTTGTAACTCACATACTTAAAATTTAAAAGAAGAACACCCTGCTCAAAAACCTCAAATATCTTCATTGATTCCCTGTTGCCTTTCACTAGCTGCCTCCATCCACTCATGTCTTCCTCTGTGCTTCATTCTTGGTTCTCAAACTACAAAGCACACAGCCTCAGTTTTAGCCAATCTTCTAGTGCTCTATGAAGCAAGCCTTGCTTTTGATTGTTATCCTGCCATCCTACTTTTTTTTTGCATTTCTAAGACAAAAGAAGCTTTTTCCACCCTATCTGCTTGTTTTTAGGCTGTTCTGTTTGGGAATATCCCTACCTCCTACCTAGCAAAAACTAGTCTGTCCTTTTGGACTCAAATCAAGTTGCATCTAGTCCATGAAGCCACCCACTATAGCCACAATCCACAAGGAGAGCTCCTTCTTCCTATGTTCTTCTCAGTTCTCTCTATCTTTACACTTTTCTTCAAGCATGGATGGCTTCAGGTGACCATGTCATCTTCTCACTTAAGCATGCTTCTTCTTTACAACAAAACTCTAGCCTGGAGAACAGGAGCAGTCCTTCTCTTTATTTCTCTCACAATACTGGGTCCAAGAATTGGTTCAATAACCTCTTCATGAACTTAATCTTAACCCAGAGCATCCTGAATCAAATGATATCCACTGATCTAAAACTCCATACAATAAATGTTGGACAGAACATGACTGTCTATAAGTCTACTTTTTCTTACTCCTCATAACTATATCATCAATGATCTCTATGATTTTAAAAGCTAAACCGGAATTAATTATAACATTAATGCATTAGTTTTATTGTATTGGTTTATCAGAAAAAAGTATCCAAACATAATACTTCAGGTGTGAAAAAAATATAAATGTACCCAATTGATAATTAATAATACTAATAATATAAAAACAATTAGAGGCTGGTATATGTGAGATCCAGATATGTTATTTGCTCCAGTATACAGAAATAGAACTCACAATACTTGGTGGGCAGAGAGAATATGGTAATAGCAGATTTGTGAATTTCAAAGCATATGTAGTCCATTGTACTTATGAGTCATGCTACATGTGCAAATGAATACTACTTACCTCCATTCCACTGTATATATCTTGAAAATCAGAAAACAGAATAAAAATTGTGAGGCCCAAGGCAGACAGCAGCAGAAATGAAAATATATCTGAAGAAACACCAAACATTATTTTTAGCTGTTGAAAGAATGTTTTGTGTAATTTGGCACACATTGCAGAATCAATTATCTCTGTTGGGCAAATATTGGATATATCTTCAGATGTTTTGATATATTCGCATATGTTTTAAAATATGTTCTAATGCTTATATGATAAAGGTGACATCTTGAAATTTTTCCTTGAAAGCCTAGATGTGGAAGGCTGTTAATCAAATGTATCCTAGTGGCCCCATAAAGGAGCTGCCCTAGTGCTTTATCACCATGTGGCTGGTGAGTTGTGCATGCATGGGATGAACAGTCAGTACTCTTGGCACAATCTTGTACATCTTTGTTGCCCAGAGAACAAAGTCTAAGCATCGTCAATGGACATTCAAGGCCTTCTACAATCTGCTCCCAATCCATCCTTTTAAAGTGATCTCTGACTACTCCTTATGTGCAATAGGAAAGGTAAAACACAAAACCTGCGGCTTTCACAGAGGTCCAGCACTTTCCAGCTTCTGCACTTTGTTCACAAAATACCCCGTGTAAATGAGATTCTTCCTGTCTTGGCTTATTCCAATTATTCTTAAGATGAAGAGCCCAGTTATAGCACTTTGTCTTCCAAGACTTCCTAATCCTCCCTTACAAAATCTTATTTTACATGGGAAATATCATATTCTGCTTAGCATGATCTTAATTTATCTGTGACCACTTGAAGGTGACTTTACATCTGGCTCTCTGGGACTGACTTGAAAAAGTAAGTGAGAAACTAGCATGTACATCTGTTGGGTTCTTTCTTTCCAATCTGCCCAAATTGTCTTAATTTTAGGAGTTAAACTTCCTGTGGTTCACTATACCAATATTGCTGTACTTTTCCCCAACCCCAACCATGCCTGTGTCTGTCAGAGCTTCCACAAAGTACTTTGTAGATGGTGCCTTGGAAATGTGTGTTGATAGGATTATCACCTTCAGGCCAAATCTGTAGCATTTGTCATCATATAAAACTTTTGTAATTCTCAAAAGTTATAAGCAAACAAACTAGGTTTTCTCTTATAACCTCTCCCTTTACCTCATTTTTTCAGTGTTGGTGGTCACTCCACTAACCCCGTCAACTCTACAAAGGTCTGTACCAACCAGAAATCTGAGGCAACTGCCTCTTTACAGCAACTCCTATTTTTGAAGGCACCAGAGTTCTGTTTCACCTTTGAGCACCTACACCCACTCTCAATATTCATCTATGCCTCACTCTATGTAAACAACTAAATGCCACACCCTCAGAAGAATAACCAGGCTATCTTAGTAAGGGTATGAGGCAGTGGGAATTGCATCTCCCAAAATAAAGCAATCTGAGAAGCTTGGTGCTAAGATCATCCCAGGACATGGCTGTGTGGAGTTTTCATGTAATTCATTGTTTCAGGGCTCCAGAGACCCAGAATCTGGGAAGAAGAGGATGACTCAAATGCCCATTCTGATTACAGCCTAGGCTTCACTAGCAACTGGGCTGAGGACCATGCACAACACTCATCCTCAGACCAATGCAGTCGTGGCCTATGCACAAGTGAGCAGTGTGGAAGCAAAATTAGAAGCCCTCTTCTTTAATTCTGCTTTGATTGAAAACTGTAATAAAGAATCAAAGTGAATGCTTGTCCTCTTTGGTCAGTTGCTATTGATGAGGAAACCGGAAAGCGTAGGGCTCAGTTGATGCAGGTGGTTTCAGACAGGGAAAAGGCTAATGATCATTCACAGTTGTTTCCATAAAAATTAAATCTGTACTGTTTCTATATCTTGTCATCATAAAGTTGAGCTTCTGTCAAAGGCTGTTAAAAAGAGCAATGATTTTTCTGTTGTATCAAAATGAAACTGCTTGTGTATTTTAATAGTAGTTCCAAGGACCTTTGACTTATAACCTCGAGAGTATATGATTTATTATAAGATTACATTTATTAGAATATTTGTTTATGAAGCATTTTGCATTTAAAATTATCAGTTATGTTTGGCATAGGGGGTCGAGTTTACCCACAAGTTTTAAGTCACTATAATGTAACTAATATACCTTAAATTCACTCCACTTACATAAAAGGCTTTTACAGCTGCTATTAAAATTCAAGTATTAGTCAAAAAATATATCCTTCTTGTAAAATAAATTTATAATTTTTAAAAAGGTATAAAAGATTAAGTTTAATACATAAAGTAGAATCTTAGATCAGGTGTGGGGGCTCATGCCTGTAATCCCAGTGCTTTGGAAAGCTGATGCAGGTGGTTGCTTGAGCCTTGGGTTTGAGACTGCAGTGAGTCATGCACTCCAACCTGGCTGACAGAGTGAGACCCTGTCTCAAAAAACAAAACAAAACAAAATGAAAAAAAACAAAACAAAACCCAAAACTTAAAGTAGGACCTTGATCTGTTGTAACAAAACTTGAAGGACATTTTCAAGCAATGTGTCAACACTTAGAAAAATGTAGGTAAAATTCAAAAAATGTATCTTTGTAGACATAAAATTCAGGAAGAAGGTTATAGAAAATATAAAATTAGAAGACTGATTTAGGATGCTTTCAAGACCTTTGACAAAACAGTTATATAAAAAATGTGAGGCAAGAACAGAATTTGAATATAATTGCTGAAATAGATTTAATATAGTAAGTGTACATTTCTGACTTAAGAGTAGAAACTAGATTTTATTTTCTAATATTTGTGACTTGTTTAGAAAATTAGGGTTTAGGGTTTATGTTATGTGGTGTATCAAACTGCGGTAATTTCTCCAACGCAGAAATTTTAGGAGATAGACTATCTGATCATGGCAATAAAACTAGAAATTATTAACTAAGTTTAAATAAGACAATCACTCCCAATGTACAAATAAAGAACAAACTTTAAAAAATCTATTTGATCAAAAAGGAAATCAAGCCTATATTTGTTAGCCATTGAGAAAAATACCATTAGGAGAATGAAAACAAAATCGTATCCCTCTTGAAAATTAAAAAGCACTATTCTAAAAATTATTGGGTCAAAACAAAATTAAGTCATAATTAGAGATATATGAAAAAGTAAAGAATGTAACCAAAACTATTATTATTGACCTTGAATGTCTAATTTCATTAGAATAAAAGAAATTACATGAATAATAAAGTCAGCTCAAACATTTAAAAAATGTCAAAGAAAGCAAGAAAAGGGAAAAAATTGAAAAAGCAAAAATTAACACATTATAAAATTTAAAAACATGTAGAATTATTAAATCTATGAGCTTGTTATTTAAAAACAACCAGTAAAAATAAATTGTTAGTAAAAGTAATAAAAAAAAAATACAGATGTAGAGGTAATTAGAATGAGAAGATAGTAAAAGAGTTATATACAACATGGTATTGTATACTTGGAATTTGCTGAGAGAGTACATTTTAAATTTTCTCACCACAAAAAAAGTGAGGTAATTAGCTTGATTTAGTCATTTCACAGTATATAATATATTTAAATATTGTGTTGTACACCATAAATACATGTATTTTTTATTTATTCTTTAAAATATTAAAATGAACAACCTTAAAAAATAAAATAGTAAGAGTTATAGAAGGTATTAATAAGAAAATACCACAAAACCCTACAATAAAACTTGATCTATCTGGCAGAAATATCTGTTATTTTAAAAATATTTTTAAAAGAGAATAACTTAAATCAACCCTTAAGCAATTATTTCAAAAGAAGCATTTTGATGTTACTAGTGGATTCTTGAAAATGATCAAGAAATAGACCATCCAAAACTATAAATTTTTTTTTCTCAGAGAAAAGACAAAGTCAATGAGTTTTAAAGTCTAATATCCAAATCTACCAAAACATTACCCAAAAAACTCGAGACCAATCTCACATGAAATATAGACATTTAAAAAAGATAAAATTCAATTTAGTAAAAGGATAATCCATCACAAATAAGTAGGATTTGTCAAAAATATGCAGATGATTTAAGGATGAGTTTATTAATATAGGTACATTTTAGCAATAGGTCAAAGGAGACAAAAGTATAATCATCTCAGTAGATGATTATGGCATTCAATGAAATATATCTCCCATTCTTGATTTTAAAAAATACTCTTGATTAACTGGAAACAGAAGGGTATTTCATTTACATAATGTAGTCTACCTTTGAAGAAATATCCAAAGATATATTAAGAAGTGAAAACTACTAAAAGTATTCTTATAACGGAACAGAACTATCTGTTGTAAACTTAACATCATCCTAGAAATTTTGGACTGTGTACTAAAACAGAAAATATGAGTAAACATTTTGGTTGTTAGTAAGAAGGGACATTATTATTTGCAGATAATAATGATTATCTTTCTAGAGCACTTGAGACTCAAGGATTACTAGCAAACTTCAAAAGAGGTCCTGGGTAGGAAATAAATGTAAATGACACTATATATTTCTCTTGCATTAGTGATAACCAGGTAGAAAACATAATGAGAAATTTATTCATAATATAAGCAAAAACATAAAATACATAGGATTCATTTCTTAAATAAGATGTAGCCTGGGCACAATGGCTCACACCTGTAATCCCTGCGCTTTGGGAGGCCAAGGTAGGAGAATTGCTTGTACTGAGGTGTTCAAAACCAGTCTAGGCAGCATAATGAGACCTGTCTCTACCCTCGAAAATAAAAAAAATTAGTCAGGTGTGGTGGTGCATGCTTGTAGTCCCAGCTACTTGGGAGGCTAAGGTGGGAGGATCATTTCAACCTAGGAGTTTGAGGGCTGCAGTGAACCATGATCATGCCACTGCACTCCATCCTGGGAGAGAATGAGACCCTGACTCAAAAAAACAAAAAAGGTAAAAAGGTAATCTGATGCTAATTAAATAAATGTGTAGGATTTGTAATGGAGAAAACTATAATATTTGCTAAAAGGCATCAAAGAAAGCGTGAATAAGTGGGGAGCATGACATATTTCTAAGTTACATAAACATGTAGATTCTTCCCAAAGTATCAAAATCCCAAAGGAGACTTTTAAAAAGCCTGACAATTTATTAAGTAAAACATATGATAAAACTGTAATTTTTGAAGTATAATGGTAAATCAATAATAGGCTGGCATGAGAATGTTTGTTAAACAGCATTAGATAATCAGAACACTCCTTAAAAAAAATGAAAAGGCATTGTTCTTACAAAAAAAATATAGTCTGGAAACAAATTAATAATATATATAAATATAATATTAAAATGTACAATATGTAATATAAATTATGTATATTAAAAACAAATATTTGTATAGACATAGGTATAATAAGTGACATTATATTCATGTAGGAAATAAATGAATATTAAATACTTAGTAATCAATAAAATCTGCTGGAAAAACTGATTGATCAGTTAGATAAACTTTTTTGATCTCTACCTCAAATTATATACCAAAATTAACATTATACATTAAAAGCTTCAAAAGAAATTTAAAAACTAAATGTGATAATTTTTCCTATTTAATAATCAGAAAAAAAAACCTTCCATGCTTAAAGACAATAGAAGAAATCACAAAGGAATAAACAGCTCATACAGATAAATGAGAAAAATAATGACAATCCAACAGAAAAAAATAAGTTAAAAAATGTAAACAGTCAATTCACAGAAGAAGAAATGACTAATGACATGAAAATATGTTCCTTCTCACTGGTGACCAAAGAAGTGCAAATTTAAACCAAATGAGATACCATTTTAAAAAGTCTTATCAGATCAGCAAAAATTGTATATTTTAGTATAGTATCCCACGTTCGATATACTATTATTAAGCAAACCCTCTCAAAAATAACTGACAAGAGTGACAATTGGTACAAACTTTCTAGATAACAACCTAAATTGTACATCCAAAGCCCTAACATTTTCACATGTTTTCAATAAATAATTGATTTTGGTATCCTAAGGAAATAAGAGGCTAGGTCAAAGTGATTTATGCATGTGTTTCACAGCATTATTTATAATACTGAAATCAGTTGCCTGATAGGGTGACCATATGTTCTAATTTGCCTTGGCATTCCCTGTTTAAGCCTAGCATGATTATTAATAGTGTCTCACTTCACTCTTAAAAGTATCCCAGTCTGGTCAATAGCGATGAGGTATATTTTCTGGTTCCTCTGTAGCTTTGAAGAGATAGAATGTATATAGGTATATATGTATGTATGTATATATTTGTTTTATCTCTACTTAATATACTGGGGAAGTAAAAAAGAGTTTTTGAGCACCTATTATAAGTGCTAGACCCTTTATATATATTGTGCTAGGCCTGTTATATAAAATGCCTCACTTAGTTCTTCCCAACAGACTGGAAAGTATGCAATACTTCCTCCAATTCTACAGATGAAGAAATAGGGACACAAAACAGCCAATTTGCCTAATGTTCTAAAGCTACTAAGGGGTCAATTTGTATTTGAATGGGATTAAAGCTTGTTGTAAAATATCTCAACATATGTTAATGTATTTAAAACAATTCTTGATGACTCACAAGAGGACAGGACTCATGTGACTGTTGAGCTAGGTCTGTACTTACCTGTAAATGAGCAGGTTTCTGCCCATGGCTCTGCCACCTATGACCATGACACTCAACAATCATTTTAGAGTAGTACAATTGTTTCCTCCTCAGTTCATCATTTCACCAGTGAGTTGCAGCTTTAAGGTGAGTGAGTGGGAAAATATTCAGAAAGAAGAACTAAATTTACTATACTTACAGTTTGTATAGATAGGTTTTCGAAATGGCTTTCCCTTTGAAAAGACAAATGCTAATGTGATGTAGTTGATGGTGGTAAGGGGCCACAATGTGGTACTCTCAAAACTTAAAATGGAACCAGGAATCAGAGTTGCATTTCCAGTCCAGTTTCTTTCCAAACTCATATTGGTTGAGAAGTGATTTTGATTGGCCAGAAAACACTCACTACAAGAGAATTACATGTGTTTATTGGGACTTTTTATTCTATTTGTATCCATTAAGTGAAAAAAAAAATAGTTTCATCACTACCATGACACTTTAGCTTTGAAATTATTCCAACTAGCAACTACCAGAACATATTTTATTCACATTGTGCAATGATAAAGCAGAAGTAAAATTTGTAAGAATTCAGGCTTACTCTTTGTCCAGCACTCCACTCAGAACAAGTGATCTGTCTTGAAAGGGCTTGGATGATGATATTCTATGGAGTTCTTTTCAATTCAAAGAGTAAGTTTACCATGTCAATTGAGTATAGGTGTGGGTGTGGGTGTGTGTGTGTGTGTGTGTGTGTGTGTGTGTGTGTGTGTGTGTGTGTGTGTTTTCTCTTTTGTGGACTAATGCAACTAATTCTAACTTTGGGTCCTGAGTTTGAATCTCCCATTCCAATATACTCCTCTAAAGTCTCTCCCAGAAGATCTGAACATGACATTCCCTGCTTGTAAGGTGTCTGTGACTCTGTTTTGCTAATAAATTAAACTCAAACTTCTCTGACTGGCCTATAAGATCTTCACATTCCGATCTCAATCTACCCTTCCAGTAGATTTCTGCAAGAATCCTTATATTCCAAACATATAGGGTTATTCTCTGTTCCCCAATTATAATTTCACTCCTCTTGGATTGGACATGTTATTGCCTTTAACTGAGATAATATTAATCCTTCAAATATCACTGCATTTGACATGTCTTTACTTTCAATGGCAAGTGAAACTAGTGCCCCATTCTTCCCTGTACTGATATATTCAGCTCATTGTTTTGCAATTTTTTTGTTTACATATTTTTATTTTACACCTCTGGTATATCAGTTCCTTAATTATAGAATTTTTTAAAAGTTCAAATACAATAAATTTTTGGCACCTAGCACAGTGGGGTCACGTAGTATTAACTCAGAAGAAGATTTGTTTAAAATATTTGTTAAAATATTTCCCAGTTTTGACTAATCTATTTGTAAATCCCCTCCCCCAATTGCCCTTTGTTAGTGGAACCTGCAAGTTGACCAAATCTAGTGGAGCCTACAAATTAGTTCCACTTGCTTTCTTGTCCAGTTTGAAACTTTTAAACTACTATTATAACTGTTTATAAATAAGATTTATTTTCCAACTGTGAATTCAAATGCAAAACTTAATACTTATTTATTTTCCCGGACTCCCTGAGGTCTAGAAATGTGCTTTTCCCATACAGACACATTTCCTTTTATCATGTTTCACTTCACTACATTTTGTAGATACTGTGTTTTTTCTCCTTCTTTTTTTTTTTAAAACATATTGAAGGTTTGTGGCAACCCTGCATAAAGCAAGGTTATGAGCACCATTTTTCCAACAGTATGGGTCTCTGTGTCACATTTCGGTAACATTTGCAATATTTCAAAGATCAAACATTTCAAATATTCAAAGATCAGTGGTCTTTGATGTAACTATTGTAATTTGTTCCATGCACCCACATAAGGTAACACCAAATAGCTGTCCTCCATCTCTCTCCCTCTCCTCAAGCTTTCTACTCCCTAAGACACAACAATATTGAAATTAGGCTGATCAATAACTCTACAATAGCATGTAAGGGTTCAACTGAAAGGAAGAGTCTCACTTGTCTTACTATAAACCAAAAACTAGAAATGATTAAGCTTAGCAAGGAAGAAATATTTAAAGCCAAGAAAGCCTGAAAACCAGACCTCTTGCATGAGTTAGCCAAGCTGTGAATGCAAAGGAAAAGTTCTTGAAGGAAATTAAAATTGCTATTCCAGGGAACACATAAAAAAGAAAGTGAAATAGCTTTATTGTTGATATGGAGAAAGTTTGAGTGGTCTGGATAGAAGATCAAATGAGCCACAACATTCTCTTAAGCCAAAGCCTAATACAGAGCAAGACCCTAACTCTCTTTAATTCTATGAGGGTTGAGAGAGATGAGGAAGCTGCAGAAGAGAAATTTGAAAATAGCAAATGCTGGCTTATGAGGTTGAAGGAAAGAAGCCTGTCCCATAATATAAAAATACAAGGTAAAGCAGCAAGTGCTGACATAGAAGCTGCAGCAAATTATCTAGAAGATCTAACTAAGATAATTGATGAAGGTGGCTACAATAAACAACAGATTTTCAGTGTGAATTAAACAGCTTTCTGTTTGAAGAAGATGCTAGGACTTTCAAAGCTGGAGAGGAGAAGTCAGTGCTTGGTTTCAATGCTTCACAGGACAGGTTGACTCTCTTGTTAGGGGCTAAAACAGCTGACAATTTTCAGTTGAATTCATTGTTCATTTACCATTCTGAAAATCCTAGGACCCTTAAAAATTATGCTAAATCTATTCTGCCTGTACTCTATAAATGGAACATAGCCTGGATGACAACATATCTGTTTATAGCATGGGCTACTGAATATTTTGAGCCCACTATTGAGAACTACTGCTCAGAAAAAAAGATTCATTTCAAAATGTTAGTGCTCAATAGCCACACACAAAAATGAAATCCCTTGGCATCTTCATAATCAGATAATTGAAAGGCCTTTACAATGAGAACTATAAAACACTCCTCAAAGAAATCCAAGAAGACACAAACCGATGGAAAAATATTCCATGCTCATGGATAGGAAGAATCAACATTGTTAGGATGTCCATCCTACAAAAGGCAATCTACAAACTCAACGCAATAGGCATTAAATTACCAACATCACTCTTCTCAGACCTGGAAATGACAATGCAGAAATTCATATGGAAACATAAATGACCACGAATAGCCAAAATGATTCTCAGCAAAAGACACAAAGTAGGCGGTATCACACTTCCAAACTTCAAACTTTATTATAAGGCTACAGTAATCAAAACAGTCTGGTAATGGTACAAGAACAGGCATATAGACTAATGGAACAGGATAGAGATTCTGGAAGCAAAGCCTCAATTTCTCAATCAACTTATCTTTACAAAGTCTCCAACAACAGCCACTGGGGAGAGGAGAACCTATTTGGTAAACTGTACTAGGAAAACTGTCTGATCACATGCAGAAGATTGAAACAGGACCCCTAACTATAATTACACACAAAAAGTAACTCTAAATGGATCAAAGACTTAAACGTAAAACCTCAAACTACATGAATCTTAGAAAATACAGGAGACACCCTTAAGGAAATGGCAGCCAATTCCTGATCAAAACCCTAAGAAACCATCAAGAGAGCAGGGAGACAGCCCACTGAATGGGAAAAAATATTTGCCAACTGTATATCTGACAAAGCCCTAACATCTAGGATCCACAAGGAACTCAAATGCAACAAAAGGAAAAAAAAAAAAAACCCAAACAGCCCCATTAAAAAGTGGGCAAAAGACATGAATAGACATTTCTCAAAAGAAGAGATATGGGTAGCCAACAGACACATGAAAAAGTGCTCAGCCTCACTTATCATGAGAAAAATGCAAATCAAAACCACGCTGAGATACCACCTTACCCCAGTAAGAATGGCCATCATTAATAAAACAAACAACAACAGATGCTGGTGAGGATGTGGAGAAATAGTAATGCTTCTATACTGCTGGTGGGAATGCAAACTAGTGCAACCTCTTTGGAACAGTGTGGTAATTTCTAAAAGAACTAAAAATTGACCTTTCATATGACTCAGCAATTCCCCTATTGGGAATATACCCAGAGAGACTCAAATCATTCTACAAAAAAGATACCTGCACACACATGTTTGTTGCAACTCTATTCACAATATCAAAAACATGGAACCAACCATGCTGCCCATCGAAGCTGGATTGGATTTTTAAAATGTGGTACATATACGCAATGGAATATTATGCAGTCATAAAGAAAGACAAACATGGACTTCGCAGCAACTTGGATGGATTTAGTCTATCACAGTCAGTGATCTATTACAGAAACAAAGAACAGAGTACCTTAAGTGGACCTTGAACAATTATTATAATACTATAAGAAAGGGATTGGCAGTAGTGGGAAACTACCAGGGGAGGGGGGATGAGATTGGCACTTGAGGAAAACTGCCAGGGGAGGGAGGGGCACACCTCATCAACAAGGGTGACTGCATAATGAACATTTGTATACTTATTCCTGAATTGCACTCCACATCTCTAAAAGAAAAAAAGAGGAAAAAAGAAAAAGAAAAAACTAAACTGTTAGTTCTCACTGATGATGCATTTGCTCATCCGAGAATTCTGATGAAGATATACAATGGGACTAATGTTGTTTTCATGCCTGCGAACACAACATCCATTCTGCAACCCATAGATCAAGGAGCAATTTGACTTTCAAGTATAATTATTTAAGAAATACATATTATAAGGCTGCCATAGATAGTGATTCTCTGATAGATCTGGGAAAAGCTAGTTGAAAATCTTCTACAAGGGACTCACTATTCTGGATGCCATGAAGAATCTTTGTGATTCATGGGAAGAGATCACAAAATCAACATTAACAGGAGTTTGGGAGGAATTTATTTCAACCCTCTTAAATGACTGAGAGGTTCAGAACTTCAGTGGAGAAAGTAACTGTAGATGCAGTAGAAATAACAAGAGAACCAGAATTAGAAGTGGAACCTGAAGATGTGACTGAATTGCTGCAATCTCACGATCAAACTTGAACAGATGAGTTGTTTTTTCTGTATGAGCAAAGAAAGTGGTTTCTTAAGATGGAATCTACTCCTGATAGAGATGCTTTGAACATTGTTGAAATGGCAACAAAGAATTTAGAATATTACATAAACATAGTTGATAAAGCAGTGGCAGGGTTAGAGAAGGTTTAACTTCAATTTCTTTTTATTCTCTTAATTTTTTTATTTTTAAAATGTGGGGTACAATTCAGGGTTAGGTATACAAATGTTCATTATGCAGGTGCCCTTGTTGATGAGGTGTGCCCACCACCACCACCACTGCCCTCCCCCCCACCCCGGCAGATTCCCATTACTATCAATCCCACTAACTTCAATTTCAAAAGTTCTACTATATGTAAAATGTTATTAAACAGCCTTGCTTGCCACAGAGAAAACTTTTATGAATGGAAGAGACAATCAATGTGGCAAAATTTATGGTTGTTTTATTTTAAGAAATTGCCACGTCAGCCAATCTTCAGTAACCACAACCCGGATCAGTCAGCTACCATCAACATCAAGGCAACAAAAAAGATTATGACTCACTGAAGTCTCAAATAATTACTAGCATATTTTTAGCTATAAAGTGTTACTAATTAAGATATATACATTGTTTTTCAAACATAATGCTATAGCACATTTAATAGACTAGAGTATAATGCAAACATAACTGTTATATGCATTGAAAAAACAAAAAATGTGTGTGGCTCACTTTATTGCAATATTCACATTATTTTGGTGGCCTGGAACCAAACTCACAATATCTCTGAGATGTACTTATAATATATGCTCAGTTAATATTTGCTAATTAAATTAATGAAAAGCATTAATTTAAAGCATTCTCACACAAAGAGGAACAAAAAGACTAGATGGCCTGAATTACAACATTTAAAACCAGCGTATCAAATCCAATATACTTACATTGCAAATAAGAAAGTTGAGGGTTAGTCAGTGAGAGAGGCAGGACTTCCCAGAATTTCTGATTTCCTATTCATCCCAATTTTGACTACACCATATTGTTTCCTAGGTTCAGTCAAAATTTGAGTTCACTGACTACATGCACTCCAATTTTGGAAAAATCTGCTTTTGAAACTAAATGGGATTCTATATTCCAAGTAATACTTGAATTGTTGAATTTCGGATCTAAATATCTTGGATATCATTTGGTAGTTTTCAATCTATATCTCACTGGTTTCTGTTGCTCTAATGCCTTCATAATCACAGTGGAGTGAGAGGCAGTTTGCACACACTCTATTTCAAACAGAGCAGCTCCTTCTCTGACTTTTATCTGCAGGGGGACTTTGTTAGAAAAAAATATAGCTTGTGCCATAGTTCACCTTAAAAAAAAATTAAAGTTTAGGAATGTAAAGAGAAATTCTGAATCTGGTGTTCCAATTCGATCAGAACAATGATATCATCAATTAACATTCAGGTTTAACATTCTTTGAAAAAAATGTAATAATTTAAACAAATCTCACTTGTATGCCTACAGCAGGGGCCAGCAAACTGCAGCACACAGGCAAATTCCAACTCACCACTTGCTTTTGTAAATAAAGTTTTATTAGAACACAGCCACACCCATTTGTTTATATTTTGTCTATGACTGCTCTTGTGCTACAATAGCAGAGTTGGCTACCTAGCCCACAAAGCCTATTTACTATTTGGCACACTACAGGAAATGTTTACTAACGCTTAGTCTGTAGGGTACACAAACTACCAGAGAAAGAATACATTTATTCAGCCAACTAGCTGTTAGATCTACACACTAACAATCAATATGACAGATCTCTTCTCACCCACTCCACATGGCTCACCCCACCAGTCCACCTGTGAACTATCATTTGTGTTTTGTCCTATCATTTGTGTTTTGCAGGTGAGGATACAATTTTGTTAATTAAAGTGCTAGGATATATGTTCAAATCAAGTGGGACAATGTCACTGAATAGTCACTATATCATCTTCAGAAAGGAAAACTAAGAAAATGAACTTACCTGTATTTGTAGACCTCACAATACCAGGGCTGCTGCTTCACATAGAGGAATGCACAGATTTGTACAACGTAAGAGAAACAAGAATTCAAAAAAACCGAGAGCAGCAAAGGGGGAGAAAGCAGCTGTCCTGCTGGTCGATATGGAGCCAGCTTTGGGTAGGCATGAGTTGAACTCACTGGAAGACAAATGAATTTTTTGTCTGTTACCATTTCATCATTGAAAATTAAAGATTGAGATGCATATTATCTCAAATCTTGCGTTGGGATTCAGATTCAGCAAATATGAATTGAAGATTTACACCTAGGTTAGCACAATGCCTGGTTTCACATCCAATTCTACTAGACTTTGTCTCTTCCATGGTTTTTTTTCACCTTCAGAAATGAAAAATAATGGGTTAAAAAGTTCTGTAATTAGTATATTTACTGTATCACATGCTTCAAATGTTTTCTCCAGGAATGATGTGTAAAAGGGGAAGATGGCCTTCCATATGAGATAAGCAGTGCTAGTATTATCTCTCAGGATGGGAAAGTGGAGGGTTAGAATGAGAAGAATAAGGAAGCATATAGCTAAACTATGAAGATATGCTGGGTACTTTTTTTTAAAGCACTTGATGTTCATTCGACTAACATTCTCTAGAGCACTTCTATGTGCCAGGCAACACTGGTGTTGGTAGCATAGTGGTCAGCATAGCTACCTTCCAATGGGCCAGGCACTGTGATAGACTCTAGAGATGTGTTAAGTTTCTTCCTGGATATGCATGTGAATGGAGGACTAACAGTGCACAATACATTTAGTTAGAAAAAAATAACTCAATATTGATTTAAAAAAAAAAGAAAAAGAAAAAAGAACTCATTAAAGAAATCTGTTTCTAGTTGAGAGTGTTAAAATATATTGTAGTTTTGATCCTAGGATCTTTTAAAATTATTTAAAGGGTCCCTGGCAATGGGCAGAAATTAAAAAGGACAACTATTAAAAAGAAGATGACTGCAACTTAGAAGCTACATTTTCTAACAAGATAGTGAAAATAAAATGTACTTTATCTCTCAGGGCAGAGGAGGAAGGAAGCACAGGGAGATCAGGAGTTAGAAACATCACATTTACAGATTTACATCGTAGTCATGTTTCAGATTCTGTCCTCATATCTGCAATCTTTTCACTTCTCACAACTTATCACTAGTTTTTTAGATGTAAGGAAGATAGTAGTGTATGCTGAAGTTTGTGTCTACGTGTATACAGTCAGGGTGGTGGGGAAGGGGAGTCCAATTTGGGATAATAAAACACTAAAGTAAACTGGGCTCGGTGGCTCAGCCTGTAATCCCGTGCCTTTGGGAGGCTGAGGTGAGTGGATTGCCTGAGCCCGCGGGTTCGAGACCCGCCTGGACAGCAAGACCTCATTTCTACAGTAAATCAAAAAATCAGCTGGGTGTGGTAGCGCATGCCTATAATTCCGGCTACTTGGAAGGCTGAGGCGGAAGGATCGTCGGAGCCCAGCAGGTCGAGGCTGCGGTGGCTGGGAGTGGCCACTGCACTCCAGTCTGGGTGACAGAGTGAGACTCCAACTCAAAAAACAAACAAACAACAAAAAAAAACCCACTAAAGTAAGTCGCTCATTTGTTCAATGTGCCTTCTGGGATAGTCATGTAAACTCTCTGGTTTTTCCTTTTCTTATTTACAAAATGAATGTGTTGAAATGTCTAAGTGATATCCAAAGACCCTTTCAACTATTTATTCTGAAGCTCTATGACTAAGGCCTTACCTATACCAATTTAATCAATGCTTTCCTGGCAGGGAGCTGGGATAGAGACTGTGGGGTATGATGCAGATATGAGAAAAACATCTCATTTGCCCTCAGACAGTTTGAAATCCATTGAAAGACACAGACTCTGTAATAAAGAATTTGTCTGGCCTTTATCCCTAGTTCCTGGGATATATCCTCTAAACCTCTGAAATTTACTGAGTGATAGGAATATCTTTCTCTCCCATAGTAGGCCTTGATCACTTATGCTAACAAAGTAACTAATGGTGAGTCTGAGGAGTTTGTGTTAACAAGATGACTCAGGAAGTTGGGGCTGGCTGTGCAGAAAGACAACTGTGTGGCTGTGCAGAAAGACAACTGTGTGATTAGATGGTTGGGGCTTTGAGCCACATCATGCAGCCTGGCCTCCTAATAGGAGAAGAAAGCTAAGGATCAAGTTCAGCCTCACGGCCAATGATTAAGTCAATCATGTCTATATGATGAAACCCTAATAAAAACTCAAGACACTGAAGTTCATTTGAGCTTCCCTGAATATCTGAATATTGTCACTTATCCATGTACCAAGAAAGTGAGGTATCCTGACTCCATGGGCAAAGGACAGTGGAAGTATCTTATTTGGGACCCCTCACAAACCTTGCCCTATTTTTCTCCCTTTGGCTGGTTCTGATTTTTTTTTACTGCTATAATAATGCTGAAATAATTAGTATAGCACTTTCCTGAGTTCTGTGAGTTGTTGTAGTAAATTATTGAACCATAGGGGGTAATAGAAACTCCCAAATTTTAACCAACTAATAGGTGTGTGGGTGGTATAGGGACTCCAAAATTTATGGCTGTCATCTGAAATGAGAGTATTCTTATGGCGGCTGTACCCTTAACCTTACAAAATTTGGCCTAACTCTGAGCAGTTGGTGTCAGAAGTCATTGCTTAGATACACAAAGAAGGAACACACAATGTAGACTGTGGTCAGCGCTAAAGAAAACTGCAAAGAGATTGTGTTTTAAGGTCACAGAAGGCAGAGGCTTCAGTGCTTGGAGATCTCTCTGTGCTTCAGTATCCAGAGTAGAATGTAGCCATGGAGTTCATAAAAAGGCTGTGGGTAGTGAAGAGGTATAATCACATCTCTGTTCATCTGGTTTCTACTTCATTGGTCTTCTCTTTCTCTCATGCTCACTGTAGTTTCTGGCCTTTCTTTCACACAGCAACTGTGGTATTTTGAATTGGCCGCATACTGGTGGCATGCACTCACACGCCCCTTAATTTGGGGCTACAGTTTGGCAAAATCATTTGGCAACACAGTGTACTGTAGACTATCTGCTGTTTACCCACATGATCGCTGGGCTGACTGGGAGCTGCAGCTTGCTGCCCACAGCCCAGCATCCTGAGAGGGTATCATACCAAATGCACATCACTTTTGCACCATTATGAAGTTGAAAATAATAAATCAGGGGCATCTGTAATTTTACATCGATCATTCAATTGTCAATGACTCCTAAGGACGGCAGATGAAATGTCCATAGTTCTCAGACAGGCAGTCAAGATTCTCTGTGATATGGTCCAAATCATCTTCTCAAATTTTATCTCCTGCTGTTTCTTTTCACATACCTTATAGTATGGCCAAATTAAAAACTCATACCCCATATTTTTCAGCTTTTTCTTGCTCATGCTGCTTCTTTCTAGTTGAAATGTCCTTCTTTTAGCAAAAGATATTTGAAATCTAGCCAACCTTTCTATTTTTATGTGAATGCTGCTTTCTTAATGCAGCCATTCCTGGTATTTTTCTTTTTTTCTCTATCTTCTCCCTACCTTCAGATTCTATTTAAAAAACTTATCCTTTCTCTGAACTCCCAAAGCATCTGCTGTTCTCTGCCACTCACTCAACTTGCATCTTATTTGTTCATGTATGTGAATCCCCACTAAACTCTGAACTTGAACAATCAGCCTTCTCTTGTCCCAGTACCTATGTTAGCTAACAGACAGCAAGAGATGAACACTTGTGTATGAGAATGTTGAATGGGGCTTTTCCTGTTATCTGGAGAATTCTTCTGAGCCTCGTATTCAAGGATAATGAATGACAAGTATCAATTTATTGTAAAGAAAATGATTGCCATGTCTCCATAATAACCTAGCAAGAAAAATCATATTGAGTATTCAACTATAAATGTGTCTCCCCCCCATTACCTGTGTACCTACGTATAAGAGAGAACTACAGAGATTATCAAGAGATTCTTTTAGGGTACCTGCACAATAAATATTTGTATACCTAACCCTTAACTGTACCCCACAATTTTAAAATAAAAAGTATATATTTTTTTAAAAAAAGATTCTTTAGAATAAATTGTTAGGCAGCATTGCCACAACCCAATGAGGGGAAGTCGTAAGAACCCCTCCAAGAGAGACTCAAAGTAGTTTAAAGAGAGAATATTGGCCTTGCTCACTCCTCTTCCATTGTAATAGCAAAGGGAACAACCAGGAGAGCAAGCTACTCCTCTAATATATGGTTGGTCAAGTAGAAGTCATGGAAATGAGCCAGGTGAGGGCTATTCTGGAAGAAATCTGTCCAGTGGGGCAGCCTGCTGGGACTAGAGGATCCAGCAGTAGAAAAGGTTTTTGAGGCTGGGCTCAGTGGCTCATGTCTGTAATTCCAGCATGTTGGGAGGCCAAGCGGGAAGATTGCTTGAGCTCAGCCTAGACAACATAGCAAAACCTCATCTTTACAAAAAAAAAAAAAATTAGCCAGGTGTGGTAGTACGTGCCTGTAGTCCCAGCTTCTTGGGAGGCTGAGATGGAAGGATTGCCTGCGCCCAGGAAGTTGAGGTTGCAGTGAGCTGTGATGGTGCCACTGCACTCCAGCCTGGGTGACAGAGAGAGAGAGAGGCCCAGCTCAGAAAGAAAGAGTGAGAGAGAAAGATGGAGGGAGGGAGGAGATGGAAAGAAAGAAAAGAAAGAAGGAAAGAAGAGAAAAGAGCTTTGTGGTATGTGCTACTGGGAGACAGTTGCAGAAAGGAACCTTGAAGGTCAGAGGGAGAAAGCACCACATGTCATGACAGTCTAGTCCAGATCAATTCATAGAGAATCTTTGAAGAATTCACCAGTGAATCCCATGCAAATTGCCTGAATGTGGTTGCCATGTTTGAGGGCATTTGATAGGGGCTAACGGCAACTCCCCATTGAAGTAAAAACCTTTTGCTCCCGTTGCTTTTATTCCCTGAAGCAGAGGTGGAGAGTAGGCCACACAAGGGCCGTGAAGAAGAGATCATGGTCTTCTCATGCATACTTGGTCCATAGATTAAGCTTGATCTAGGAGAAGTAAAACTTTGAATTTAATGGAAATTTCAAAAGTTAATTTACAATACCCAGACTTTTCATATACAAAGATAAGATCATTTTAATACTTGGCATTGACCAGGAAATAATCTGCTTATGGGGTGACTGAGCTTGTAGGGATGGGAAAACAACAGGGTGTTTGAAGGTAGAGAGTAAACAACAAGCAAACGAAAATAACTGTTGCCTCTACTCTCTCTTCCACCAGTCCTCAATGAGTTTAGCCCATTTACTGAACCAATTACAGTCTGTGGAATAATAATTGGATAAAGTGCTGTCATTCTGACAGAACACTGTGTTTCTGTCTATCACCCTTCTGAGACTTTATTCTCTGAACAGTAATAATGGTCCTTCCCTAGTTATTCCAACACTCCCACTGAGCCCCCTCTGAGAGGCCAGGATGAGTTTCACAGTGCGACCAACCAGCAAGAGGCTCAGCAGGCTATCGCTGTGGAAAAGAGTTAAGTAGCCTAACACTAAAGGAATCAAGTCCATAACTAATATCATAGAATTAAGTGTGCAAAAGCTCAGAATAACTCACTCAAGGTCATGTAGCAATTCTGTGGCAAGACTAGGACTACCACCCATGTTTTTAATTTTTTTTTTTTTTTTAATTGGAGTCTCACTCCATCGTCCAGGCTGGAGTGCATTGGCACACTCACGGTCACCCCAGCATCGACCTGCTGGGCTCCAGCGATCTTTCGGCCTCAGCCTTCCAAGTAGCCGGAACTACAGGTGTGCGCTACCACGCCCAGCTGATTTTTGATTTATTGTAGAGGCGAGGTCTCAGCAAGTTGCCTGGGCTGGTCTTGAACCCGCGGGCTTAGGCAATTCACTCACCTTGGCCTCCCAAAGTACTGGGATTACAGGTTGAGCCACTGAGCCCGGCTGATTTTGAATATTTAATGACGTCGATCTACCAGCACACATTCTGATTCTCTTTAAGTACTCACCAAGTTAGTCAGTCTTCTCAAAAGATGAAAAAGAGGAGAGGTGCAGTCTGATATTATTCATACTGCAATGAATAGTTAGAGTGCCCTGTATGTGATGAACACTTGAAAAGAATCATTTTATCTGATCCTCATATCTCTACAAGGACATTTTTTCAAAGAGCACAGAGATAGGGATGGTAGAGTATGGTCATGGCCTTCACCTCCATGCTAATTTCCTGCTAGCTTAGTTCTTGGAAACTTCTCATGTTCCTTTTTCTTCCCAGCGTCATTCACAAGTAAATAATGCAAATTGCTTAAAATATCTAACATTGTAAAAGCAATTTCATTGCTTCAAAAAGTAGTCAGTCATGTGAATATTAATAACATGTAGAAAACTATTTTAATGAGCTATGAATAGACACTTCAACCCTAAACATCAACCAACACCTATACTACAGTAGTTAAATCTCTGATACTGATACATTTTGTCATTAGGTTCATATAATAAATGACTTCAATAACAGTTTCATGTTTTAAGATGCTACATGAAATTCTCAAGGTTATTAATATCCTGCATTGCCTGATGTTTTATCTGTTATTTTTCATAACACTTCCATTGTTGGGCAAGGAAAAAGAGATGACAATGCCATTCTTTTTATTTGCTCTCTGGAGAGGCAGTCACCTTTCTCACTTATTAAGAGTTACCATCAAGCCCTGAGTTCCTTGATAGGAAATACTCTATCAGTGTCATCTCAAAGGAAGGAAATGAGCAATAGTTGCTGTTGTAACCCATACCTTGCTTTTGAGAGAAATCCACTAAAATAAAATGCTAGCATTTGTTCTCACACATCAAGGACCTAGCAAAAATGTAGTTTCATGTCAATGTGAAGCATAGCTGAATAGTGGAAAGTGACCTTTGGATTTGAAAAGATTCCATTTCTAGAAATTGTATTCATTTTTCTATGTATGAAACACAAATCTACAAAGAACTCAGACTACGTTGACAATTTTTTGATGCTAAGACCTATTTGTTATCAAGATATTTTAATGCCAAGTCTGAAAATTTCAATTCTTAATATAACCCCCTAGTCACTTTCAAAAAAATTCTTAGATAATTTTAGTAATTAGGGTGCCTCTTTTTAGTTATTTATGTATTTCCAGAATTTCATAGATGAATACAAATAATAGTTTGTAATGCTAAAGAGCTTACTTGTCAAACAGACCATCAAAGTAATGGCTATATCTTGCATGAGATACTGGTAATTCCCAAAGAGTTGTAGCTGCTGGAAAAGAAAAAGTAAATATAAATGTAATATAATAGCATTTGTCATTCTCCACATTCTTTTTTAAGTAGTTAGGAGGCAACTGTTATTTTCTCCCTTTTTCAGGAAGAAAATGACTTACCTAAATTCATTAGCAACTCATTGGATAGAATTAAACCAGATCATGATTTTCCCAGTATTTAACTTACTCTGTACTAGTAACAAGAGTCAGTCATTTGTTAACCACTCTCTCATTTGCCACATTAATTATGGCAGCTGCAGTCTCAGCTACAGGCTGAGCTGAATTCTCAACATAAGATATTAAAGTCTGAAAGTTCCCTTGGAAATTTTAAACTTAAAATTTGAAGTCAAGCCTTGATTCATTATTCATTCAACAGGTAGGTGTTGCTCTCTATCCTTATCTCTGGATTGAGTTTACAACACAGTTCTCTTGGAGTCCATTCACTTTCACAAACTAAACAAAGGTCCCTGTCCTAAGTTAGTCCATGGTGAACTTCAGTCTGGTACAACTGCCTCTTGGAGGTTTGTGTAGACACAGACTTCTTTTAAATTCATGTTTGTGGAACTGAAGTTTGCAGATACAGAAGTCAAATCATTACTCTCCAGGAATTTGCCTTGTCTTACATTTTGCAGCCAGGCCTATTTATCCGCTTCACATCTGTTGACTAAGTACTCAACTGTAATCTGGTCCTTAGCATATTACAGAACAGATTTATGCACATGAAAAAGATTGCTGGCCTCTCCAAGGGTGAATCCAAGGCTTGGAAGGTTCTAGGCTAAGGTCCCTCTGAGACACTCATTTATTTCTAGGTCATCAGAGTAAAATGACTTCAGAGTAAACTATGGTTTCTAACGCTATTCATGCAGACTTTGAAACTGATGTTCTGCGTTTACATTTTTGAAAGGCTGTAATCAATTCCTCAGTGTCCCTTTCAACCTCTAATCCTTGCTTGTCTTCTTTACCTTTCTTTCTCATATCCTTTCCCTTTCTTTTCACTTGAGAGTGGTAAAATTATATACATTTAGGATGAGATGGAACAGGGAGAAATTTCCAACAGCAGCTATAGTTTTCCTTGTAGAAGTAGCTTTCACGGAACTCCAGAGGGCTTTGAAAACCAGCTAGCCCAACTTCCCAGAAGTAGGTTTGGGCCAAGGACAAAATCTAATTTGTTTTTTGGATGAAGGTAGAACTTGAATCCAGGTTTTCTGACTCTCCTTCCAGTTCTTGTTTCTTACCTCCTGGTTGCCCTTGAGCCCTCCGTGTGTGATCCTTGCAAGCAATATAGCTCACCAGATGCTGTAGTTTCATGCCCTACTCACTCACTTCTCAAACCTCCCAGGAAAACAAGAAAATAATTCCTTTCCTGAAGTTTTCCTTGAGGCTATTGGTTCATTTTACTGCAGCACAAGCTATGATTGGACAAATGAAGATTATTTCAACCTATACATAGTTCTTCTATACAGCTAATTGATTTTTAAATGGCTATTATTATAATTTAATTTTAAGAGTTGTTTTTTTTTTTTTTCAGAGAATTGCTGATCCCTTACTAATGATGTGCCTAACTGTGTAAGTTCCAGGTAGGTTCAGGAATAAAATTCCATTATGAAAGATTTTTAGCGTTCTAATCCTTCAAAGTAAAACTCAACAACTTCTCTTCCTTTTTTCTTCTTCTTAGTATTTTGCCAAAAATATTCCACAGTTGGAAACTGATCCATTTCCTGCTGATTTATATTTGGCTGCTCTGAAGCTCTCTTCAGACTCCAAGTGAAGAAACAGAGACTTGGAGAGGTCAACAGTCTCAGGTTATCCAGAGAAAAATAACACTCTAGAAAACAGATACACATCTATTTATTTCTAGCTCTATGTTTCATGTAGAGTTATACCAGGTTCCTGAGTTTGTAGACACCTATTTTAAGACATGTCATTTCTTTATAAAGCATTAAATCCTATATAGGAGCCACACCCTGAAAAATAAATTAGGGATGTAATTGCGATTAGAACTGAGCAGAAATGATGTTGGTTCATACCCAATAGAGCAGTGATGTACCGGTAAACTGGATTATGGCATACATGGACAAGTATTTAAATACCCCAAACGATGAAACCAGAGCAGCTCGGCCTTCTCTGTTTAAAAAGAAATAAAAGTACCTGGTTAGGTGTATGATACACATCTCCCAGTTTCCTTTATATTTCAAAATGAGTTAGATTTTTAATAGCCTATTGATATGCATTCACTTAATCATTAGTCCATTCTCTCAATTATTTATTTATCTACTCATTCATTCATTTTTCTCTTCAATCATTACCTTACCCATTGATTCACTGATCCACTTTTACTTAGGGCTAATGAAATACCAGCATAATACTAGTCTTGCAGGATATAAAATGCATCAGGCACACTCCTTATTTTCAACAGCTTTCAGTGAAGTGAAAAGATTAGCATGTATATTATAAACACAATACAACATTATGATAAGGTGCAAAATGTCAAGCATTAACTTGATTGTGACTCATTACGTCTTAACAATAAGTGCTTCCTGGGAATTGTATTGTGTGTGTTTTAGAGGCCCTTGGAGACATAAAGCTAAAGGATGGGTGCTCTCACATCTTAGGAAGTATAGCTATGACTCCAATATTTGAGATGAAATGGGTTTTGTTGAGTTCGATATTCCAGGAAGAGCCCAGGATAATAATCTGATCTGATATAAAGATCAAAAGATCAAAACTACAGCAAAAACTGCAGCTTAAAGAGTAGATAATCTCCCTTTTAAAAAATTCCATTTTAGCTATTAATCCTTTAACTGAGGATGTATTGAATAGTGGATTATGACAGGTTAAAAGGAGACAATGTGAGGTCTAGTCAGGGCGGAAGCAAATCCACACGGGAAGTGACTCACATCTACATCCACTTTGCGTCTAGTCCCTGCTAGAAGCTCAAAGACATGGGAACTTGCTCTGCTCAAAGACTTGGCCAACAGAACAGGGATGTAAAAAGTAAAACCTAAAAGACAAACTACTAACCACTTTGTCTCAGACAAAATGAGAGGGATAGATTGGGACATGGGCAGGATACTTTGGACAGATGCTTTCCAGCAAGATGGAGGTACTGTCATTTGTTTTCAGCACAGAGGATGGGGCAGAAGACAAACTGAGAAGGGGTAAGCATGTGAAGCCTAGATCGTTTTTCCGAATATGTTATAAATATTGTGATTTTATCCTTTTTTATGCAGTTATATGTATTTCCAGGAAGACACCCAGATTCAAAGGGAAGTGCAAAAAAACATTCTAAGTAAAAGATATAGAGTGTTTTCACAGGCCCCCTAATGATTATGAGTTTTAAGAAGCTCGCACATTTATTTATACATTTCGCAAACATTCATTGAATGTGCTGATGTACCCAGCTCAGTGCTAGGCACAATGCTTGATACTGAAATGAACAAGACACAGTCTTTGCCATAGGGACTTGAACTATAACAAGTATATCATGTTTCAATAGATAAAAATGAAAACCTATGAATCTGGACCTATGCATCTAAAACTGTCCCTCATTGCCTCTCTGGAGTGCTTTCTCAGGAATAAGTATGCATCAAGGATAGCTAGGGTGAAATGAGCCTAACAGAGCTGAACCATATCTAATTTTTATGAATCTGTGAAATATAAAAGCAAAGAGTTTCTACCCTGAAGTCATACTAAGCCATCTGCCACTAGAGAAATTTGACATCATGACTTGTATTCTAAAACAGTATACCACATTCATAAATGCATTGGGCCACATGCATGAGGGAGAGCATTCCAAGTTCAAATGCCACAGCATTTTGAATAAATCAAGTAGGCACTTGGTACAATGATTCAGGTCAGACTCCCTGCAAAGCCTCCACACCTGGCTCTCCAAATTAACCATCACAACTCCCATCTGAGAAGTCTTCCAGCCCAATTGGTCTAACTGGTCCCTGCATTCTCCAGTTACAACCCTGAAATTCCATACCCCTGACCAGCTGCATATCAGCAAGATAGCTTTTCCTGAACACTTACGCAAACAAAAAGAAGGCGGGAAGGAATTCTAGTTAGGGGAAATAGGAGAGCTACATTTGAAAACAGTAGAGGTTAGGGTTAAGGTAGTAGCGATAGTGAGCAAAGGGCTTGGAGAAACTCTGCAAAGATGAGTCAGTACAACATAATGCTTGTTTGGTTATGGGTGAAGAAAAGGAAAGAGCTAAAAGTACTCTAAGGGTCTCAACCTCAGTGGCTGACTTGAAGGACCAAATTGGGAACAGGGAGTTGAGAAGAGGAGGTGCCTTAGAGGCAAGGGAAGTGGAAGGACACAGGTGCAGACACCCCGGTGTTCAGGAAAAGCTATCTTGCTGATATGCAGCTGGTCAGGGGTATGGAATTTCAGGCCTGGTATGTGTAGGTCAGTGATTCCTGCCAGCACCCTGTTTATTCTGAAGCACCATGGTACATGCTGGAGGACTTCATAGTTGTCTTTGTTGTATAAATCTCAAAATCTGGTGATATCTTTCACATCACTGTCCATGAGGATGTCCAGAAATTACCCCAACATGCTATAGGAAACAACAGACAAATGAGATTTATGAATAAAATATAAAACTGAATGTTTTATTCGCAACTACATTTGAAATACGAGTAGACATAAAATCAGAAATGAAAGTGGAGTCAAGGTGAGGGAGGTATATTGTGAAAATAAACAGCTCTTCATTCCTTCCTTTCCCTGACCATTGCCTGTCAACTAAAATATCTGGTATGTAAACATATTGGGTATTTATGAATTTGCATTTTGAAGAAATGTAATAGTATTTAGGGAAGTTATCTAATGGAGTGTTCCTTTTCTGTTTCTTCACCCGTTACAAAATCCTGAGAGAACAGTTTCAGGACACATCCAATATATTAGGTTGCTGTATAAGTTCATAGCATTTGTTTTTGGCATGGCAACACTGCAGTATTGAAAGTTTATTGTTTGTCATTTGTCATTCGGAGTGACCATGTTGTGCTTGTGAACATGTCTTACATTTTGTAGATTTGAAGAAAATGCTATTTGTGGATTGAAGAAGTTGGAGTGTCAAAAGGAAAAAAATGAACACTTCCAATATATTCTTTTGTTTGAGTTTAACAGAGGAGTAAAGGCAGCGGAGGTGGTTCGAAATGTTTGTGCTGTGTATGGGCAGAATGCCACTGGGGAAAGTATGGCAAGAAAGTGGTTTTGTAGTTTCAAAAAAAAGCACTTTGACCTGAGTGATTCTGCACGTTCAGACAGGCTTTGATGAAGACCATTTAAATGCTTTAATTCATGATGATCTACAACAGCCAACCGGATGAACTGTGAGCAGCCAACCATCGTGTAACATTTGCATTCCATGAGCAAGTGAAAAGTGTCACAAATTGAAGCATCCAACACAAAATAAAAGAGAAGAAACGTAAGAAATACTATCAGTTTTTAATTATTAAGTCATGCTTCCAACTGGTTATATGACACACCACCCATCCTTTAAGGCTCAACAAATTTGCTTTTCTGTTCCTCTTACCAGCACTCTCAAGCAGCACTCATGGCCCCTTCACTGGTACTCCAGTAGCACTTGACCCATACCTCTGTTGCAGCCTTTATTGTTATATGTTACAATTAAATTTTGTCTGTCTCCAGAGCCAGACAGTGAGCCAGCCCCTCTGTTGTAGTAGAAGTGGCTTACCTGATGAGATGAGGCACACACTCAATATTGGCTGTTTTTGAGGTAAAAGGGGATGCCACAGATGCTTCCTGCTCTGACAGCGAGATGCCTGCATGAGCCATTTTCAAAGCCTGGAATGATAAATTCATGCTACATCCATGACTCCTCCTTAAGCCAGTCTTTAACTCTTCAAACACCAAGAAGCTATTAATTTTTAAAATTATTTTTAAAAAAATAGCCAGGCTTGGTGGCTCAGTCTGTAATTCTGCACCTTTGGGAGGCTGAGGTGAGTGGATTGCCTGAGTCCGCGGGTTCGAGACCCACCTGGGCAGTGAGACCTCATCTCTACAATAAATCAAACAATCAGCCGGGTGTGGTAGCGCGCACCTGTAGTTCCAGCGATTTGGAAGGCTGAGGCGGAAGGATCACCAGAGCCCAGCAGGTCGAGGCTGCGGTGGCCGGGAGCGGCCACTGCACTCCAGTCTGGGTGACAGAGTGAGACTCCAACTCAAAAAAATAAAAAATAAAAGAAATAAGCCGGGCTCAGTGGCTTAGCCTGTAATCCCGTACCTTTGGGAGGCTAAGGTGAGTGGATTGCCTGAGCCCGCGGGTTCGAGACCTGCCTGGGCAACTTGGCGAGACCTCATCTCTACAGTAAATAAAAAAAAAAAAAAAAATTAGCCGGCATGGTAGCGTGCGCCTGTAGTTCCAGCTACTCAGAAGGCTGAGGCGGAAGGATCGCCGGAGCCCAGCAAGTGAGGCTGCGGTGGCTAGGAGTGGTCACTGCACTCCAGTCTGAGTGACAGAGTAAGACTCCAACTCAAAAAAATAAAAATAAAAAAATAAAATAAAAAATATATTTAGACGAGGCTATTCTTCATGTTATAGAGATATAATACTATGTACTTCCATCCCTGAATCTCTGTTTATACTGTCCCTTTACCAGAAATGCCCTTCCTCCCCTGATTCACAAAGTCATCAATTAAGAAGAAACCAACTAAACCGTGATCCAGAGGTAGAACAGCAGTGTGTGTGTGTGTGTGTGTGTGTGTGTGTGTGTGTGTGTGTGTGTGTATGCATGTGCACTGCCTGGGGGTGGGGTGGGGTTGTAGATGTGATAAAGAGATGGAAGTCCTCTTTCAAAAAGTTTATTAAAAAGATGGCAGAACTTGGCTACACATTGTTTGGGGACCCTTACCATTTCAGTTCCCACACCCAGCAGGCCATCTTCATGAGTGATGGTGAAAGAGATTAAATCCCCATCTTTCCCTAGTCTGCCTGAGCCAACCAACCAACTACTGCTGGAACGAAGAATGGGACACATAGCATCTTCCCTGGAGACATCACAGACTCAATCCAACTTATGCATTGCCTCACAGAAATAAGGGCTAACTTATTAGGAGTAAACACTATCCCATATCATCAAGACTAAAAACAGAGCAGACCAGTCAATAGGCAGGCCATTAAGCCCCTAATCCTACAAAAATTATGTGGGCACAAAATAAGATTTCAGTATATCTGTAGTTTTGTAGAACTACAAAGTGTCTGGTACCATGGCTGGGACACATACTGGCTTTATGTTCAATAAGTATGAGGACATTTCTTTCTTCTTCTTTTCTCCCTTAGTATTTATATCCCTATTTTATAATTTAAGACCATCTACTTTATGTTAGGGTTAGTTTTGTGCATTGTGCATGGCTCTTTTTAAAAATCACACAATGAACTCTGTCTTTTTTAGGATTTGATGTCTTTGTTTTGTTCTAAATTACACATAATTAATGGAAATGGGTCCTCCTTCTATATTTGAAAAAGCAGACTAATAACTAGTTTTTTTTCCCCTCAAAGCATAAAGCAGGAACAATCTTAATAAATCTCTAATTATAAACATAGTTTTTCACAGAATTTTGGAAGAAAATATTTAAGAGGGAAGTAAAACAAATACTCAGATCTTAAATAGCTAATAAGCTTTGGAAATATAAAGCAGTCATCCTTACTTCTTATCCTATAAATTAGCTACTAAAATATTTCATTATGTACATAATCCTCAAGGTAGTCTATTGTTTCCATTATGTCTTTAAAATTCAGAATATAAAACATGTACTGTCCTTCTATTAAATATGAGACTAATTTGCTGAGAATTATTTTATTTAGGTTTTTCTAGAGTATAAAACAACCAAGTAGTTTGGTCTAGGACGTCATTGTGTGTAAGACCTTCTGGGTAAAGTCAACTTTAAAAAACTAACTAAGGAGCGAAAATTTGGCAGGAATAAGTACAATTTACACATGATTCAAAACTTTGATCAACAGTTTCAAACATTTTCTTCACGAAGACTTCACCAGGTGTATAAACTTAGGTCAAAAAATAAAAATGTGTATAACCTTCCCGAGACTTAATTTCCTAGTTGATACTAGGAAAGATTTAAACCAGCTAATCTTGTGAAGTTCCTAATGGGTCTGAAATATGGGAAGTAGCCTTCCCTTGTCTTTATTATTCTAGGAGTTGCCAGAAAACATCTGAAATGGCTCATATCACTTCACTCCTTTCTACTTCCAACACACACTCAAGTAGAGGTGGATATAAACAACAAAATGATAAAGTGGTTGCTGGTGAAAGGATAAACACATAGACCCAGGGAACCCTGGGGTCCTCAAGAGAGATATTGGTGAGCTGCCAGTGTTAGCAGAAGTTGTTTCTACTCACCCCACAGTCATTAGCTCCGTCTCCACACATGCCCACATAATAACTGCAGAGGAAAGGATAAGAAAAAGTAATAATTTAACACCTCATTTGGCTAATTTCCATTATAAGTAAGTCACATATGATGTGTGCATGTGTGGGAATCAAGCTGAAGCAAAATGACTTGGAGAGACATATTCCCACAGGCAAAAGGCCATTGCATTATTTAAATTGTTTCAATCAATAACATTGAAATGGTAGTGAATATTGGCAAGGATGTCAGCAAAATTGGTAATCACATGATTCAAAAGAAGTCCAGTTTGACTATATGCACCAAGGCCAAACTTAAGCATATGAGATTATGATTATAGCAGTTCCCACACCATCTAATGCAGAGATCATCACCTAATCCAGTTGTACTTTGACTTCTGACCACCACTGAGAGTTTTAGAGTTCAGAAACCAGGATGAGGAATTTAAAAACTAGTTTAACAATTATAAGTAGAGACATATATTCTTGGTGCATCTCAGGGTGAAAATGAGGTAATATGCTCCCCATTTATATTAGTTTGATATGCAAACACTATATAAATGGAAGAGTAAAAATTAAAACTGTTACCAAGTAGAAGGAATTCCAGATGCATGATGTAGTCTGCCTTCTACTATTAAAAAAAAAATCTTTATATATTTAAATAAAATTTGATAGTAATTTAATTTTTGTTTTCATTTTAAAGTTGTAGGATGTAATTCAGGATTAGGAATACAAGTGGTCATTGTACAGGTAAAGTTTGGGCCTCCTTTGATCCCCACTTCACCCAGTTTGAGATCAGGTACTCTTATTGATGTTATGTGCACCCTCACTCCCCTGGCAGTGTCCTGCTACTGCCAATCCCTTTCTTATAGTATCAGGGTAAATGTTCAGAGTCTGCTTATGAGTGAGAACACATGGTACTCTGTTCTTTGTTTCTTTGAGGAATCATTGAGTATGATAGACTCTAAATCCATCTAAGCTACTGCGAAGTCCATATGTTTGTCCTTTTTTTTTTTGAGTTGGAGTGTCACTCTGTCGCCCAGGCCATCCTAGCGTTGACCTGCTGGGCTCCAGTATCCTTCCTTCTAAGTATCCAGAACTACTCAGCCTTCTAAGTATCCAGAACTACAGGTGTGCGCTACCACATCTGACTAATTTTTGCCTTATTGTAGAGATGAGGCCTCACCAAGTTGCCCAGGCTGGTTTTGAATCTGCAGGCTCAGGCAATCCACTCACTTCAGCCTCCCAAAGTGCTGGGATTACAGGCTGAGCCACTGAGCCCAGCCCTGTTTGTCCTTCTTTATGGCTGCATAATATTCCATCATGTATATGTACCACATTTTTTTTTAATCCAGTCTAGTTTTGATGGACAGTACGGTTGGTTCCATGTTTTTGCTCTTGTGAATAGTGCTGCAATAAACATGCATGTGCAGGTATCCTTGGCAGAATGATTTGAGTTCCTTCAGGTATATTCTCTGTAGGGTGATTGCTGGGTCACACAGAAGAAAAATTTCTAGTTCTTTTAGAAATCACCATGCTGTTTTCCACAGAGGTTGAACTGGTTTACATTCCCACCAGCAGTGTAGAAGCATTCTTTTTTCTCTGCATCCTTGCCAGCATCTGTTTTTGTTTGTTTTATTAATGATAGCCATTCTTACCGGGGTTAGGTGGTATCTCAATGATTTGCATTTGCATTTATCTGATCATTAGTGAGGCTGAAGAGTTTTTCATGTGTCTGTTGGCTGCCCGTATATCTTCTTTTGAGAAGTATCTATTCATGTCTTTTGCCCACTTTTTAATGGGGTTATTTTTTTCCTTTTGGCACGTTTGAGCTCCTTGTAGATCCTGGATGCTAGGCCTTTGTTAGATATACAGTTGGCAAATATTTTTTCCCAGTCTGTGGGCTGTCTCCTTGCTCTCTTGATGGTTTCTTTTGTTTTACAGAAGTTTTTCAGTTTAATGAGGTCCCACTTGTCAGTCTTATCTCTCATGGCATGAACTTCTGGGATTTTGATCAGGAATTGCTGCCTACTCCAATTTCTGTAAGGGTGTCCACTGTGTTTTCTAAGATTTTTATAGTTTGAGGTTGTATGCTTAGGACTTTGATCCACTTAGAGTTGATTTTTGTGTATAGTGATAGATAGGGGTCCTGTTTCAATCTTCTGCATGTGCTTAGCCAGTTTTCCCAGCATCATTTTACTGAATAGGTTCTCCTCTCCCCAGTGGTTGTTGGTGGAGGCTTTGTCGAAGATGAGTTGGTTGAGAAACTGAGGCTTTGCTTCCCGAATCTCTATCTTGTTCCATTGGTCTGTATGCCTGTTATTGTACCAATACCAGGCTGTTTTGATTATTGTAGCTTTATAATAGAGTTTGAAGTCTGGAAGTGTGATACCTCCTGCTTTGATTCTTTTGCTAAAGATTGTTTTGGCTATTCATGGTCTTTTATGTTTTCATATGAATTTCTATGTTGCCATTCCTAGGTCTGAGAAGAATTATGTTGGTAATTTAATGAATATTGCATTGAATCTGTAGACTGTCTTTGGTAGGATGGACATCTTAACAATGTTGATTATCCCTATCCAAGAGCATGGAACATTTTTCCACTTGTTTGTGTCTTGTTGAATTTCTTTCAGCAGTGTTTTGTAGTTTTCCTTGTATAGGTCTTTCACTTCTCTGGGTAGATAGATGCTAAGGTATTTCATTTTTGTTGTGGCTATTGTGAATGGGATTGTGCTTTTTTGTTTCTCTGCCTGTTTGTTGTTGGTATGTAAGAATGCAACTATATTTTACACATTTATTTTGTACTCTGAGACATTGCCAAAGTCCTTTATCAGTGAAGGGAGGTTTTTGACAGATCCCCTTGGATTTTTCAAGGTACAGAATCATATCATCAGCAAAGAGAGATAACTTAACTTCCTCTTTTCCTATTTGGATGCCCCTGATTTCCTTCTCTTGTCTAATTACTCTAGTTAGGACTTCCAACACAATGTTGAACAGGGGTGGGTGATAGTAGGCAGCCTTGTCTTGTTCCAGTTTTTAGGGGAAATGCTTCCAGTTTCTATGATATTTTCATCTTCTATGTCCTGTATTTTGGGTTTTATTTTGGTGATATGTATTTTTCTGCTAAAGTTAGGGTTTTGGTGATCTTGCCTTTCCAGCTTCCTTAGGTGATTTGTTTGACTGTTAACTTGAGATCTTTCCATTTTCTTGATGCGAGTTCATACAGGTATAAATTCTCCTCTTAGAACTGATTTCATGGCATCCTAGAGGTTTTGGTAAAATGTGTCTTCATTTTCATTTATTTCTAGGAATCTTTTCATTTCTGTTTTGATTACTGTGTTGATCCAGGAGTCATTCAGCATCATACTGTTTAGTGTCCCTGTCTCTGTGGTTTTGAGGGGAATTTTGTTGGTGTTGATATTTATTTTTATTCCACTGCTCTCTGAGAAGGTGCATGGCAGTATTCTGATCTTACAAAATAGTTTATGCTTGATTTCTGGCCGATGATCTGGTTGATCTTGGAGGACATTCCATGTAGTGATGAGTAGAATGTACATTCTGTCGTTGTTGGGTAGAGAGTTCTATAAGTATCTGTTAAGTCCATTAGGTCAAGCATCAAGTTGAGGTTCTGGATCTCTTTGTTGGTTTTTTGTCTTGATGATCCATCTAGGGATATTAGTGAAGTATTTAAGCCTCCAGCTATGAGTGTTAGAATCAATACCTTTTTTAGTTTACTTAGTAGTTGTTTTATAAATGTTGGTGCTCCTATGTTGGGTGCATGTATGATTAGGATGGTTATTTCTTATCAGTGGATTGAACTTTTTATCATTATGCAGTGTCCTTTGTATCTTTTAAATTTTTTGATAGCTTAATGGTTGTTTTGTCTGAATTAAGACCATGATTTCTGACTTTTTTGTGATCCATTCATGTGGAAATTAATTTTATATCCTCTAACTTTGAGTCTGTGTGCCTCCCTGTGGTGAGATGCATTTCCTGGAGGCAGCAAATTATTGGGTCATTTTTAAAATCCAGTTTAGCATTTTATGTCTTTTCAGTGGTGCATTTATCCATTCACATTCAGAGTGATTATTAAAATGTGAGTGTTTATCCCCATCATATGGTTCTATAGTTTTTTGTGTTTATTCATTTTTTTTAACTTTTGAGTCGATGTATGTGTGTGTTTTTAAGTTTGCAGTCATGATGTACTCTCTGCTGATTCTGCATTCTCCTGTTCTCTTGGCAAGTGTATGGTCATTCTTTTTTTCTTTCTTCTGTGCTTAATACTTTTTAAAGCATCTTCTGTCAAGCTGGTCTGGGAAGCTGCATAATCTCTTAGGGATTGGATGTCTGGAAAGAATTTTAATCCTCCATCACTGATGAAGCTAAGCTTGACTGGGTGGGAAATTCTTGGTTAAAATTTTATATTTGAAGACTTTGAAAATCGTATTCCAGTCTCTTTTACCTTATAGTGTTTCTGCCAATAGGTCTGCTGCTATGCTGATTGGTCTTCCCTAGTAGACACTCTGACCTTTTTCTTTTGCTACCATTAGGATTTTTTTTGTACCTACTTTGTATAGGCAAATTACTATGTGTCTAGAGGTTGGTCTTCTCATTTGATGTCTTGTGGGGTTTCTCTGTATCTCTTGTGTTTGGATGGTCACATCTCTGGTAAGATGGGGAATGTTTTCCTGGATACCCTCCTAGAATACTTGCTCCAAGGTATTCTCAGTTTCTCTTTCTTCTTCTGGGAAGCCAATGAGGAATAGATTCAGCCTCTTTATATAATCACACATCTCTTGGAGGTTTTGTGCTTTCTTCTGAGTTTTCTTTCTCTGTTTTTTACAGATCAGATTAATTCCATGTTTTGGTCTTCAAGCTCTGAGATCTTTCTTCTGCTTGATTAATTCTGCTTTCCATGCTTTTCATCATATTTATCTCCTGGATGAAGTTTTTATGGCCAACATCTCTGTTATAAGTTTCTTTCAGTTTTGCATCTTGTCTTTCTTGAATCTTATTTACCTTTTCCATGCATTCCCTAATTCTGGTGAATGCATAGAAAGAGTAAATTCTGAGGCCAGTCGTTGGTGACTTCCATGGTTTGGGTTTTGAGGTCTGATTTTTCAGATAGTGTCTCTTTAGTACACTGGGAATTACCAGTGGTCATCCACTGATTTTTCCTCATTTGTGACAGATCGCTTTCTTTTCTCTTTAGCTCTGTTATTCTGTGGCAGCGGGGAGGCTTTGACTTCTGAGGTTTACTTGGCCTTCTATTCTCCCATGATCAGGGCTCTGAATTTATTCTACTTTGAAACAGGACTGGGGGTGGGAAGCTTTTCTGTCTCTTGCAGTTTTGAGAGTCAAATAAGGTGGAGGATGAGGAGTTAGAATTCAGAAACTACTTGTAAATCATACTCACTGACTAGAGTATGTGTTCTCTGAGACCCACTCCCCACCACCACTCTATATGATGATGCAGTGGGGTCCATGTTGTATATATCCCCTGAAACAAAGATAAAGTAACAGCAATGAAGCAGAGAAAAGTAGAATGAAATAGGAAGGACAAAAAATAATAAAGTTAAATTTTAAAAAATAAAATAAAAAACACAGAAAAACAAAAGCAGAAACCAAAGCAAAAAACAATAAAACAAAACACACACATTCCCAACACAAAACAAGAGGAGAAGAAGGAAAAAAAGAGGGAGGATGCAAATTGAACTCTCAAACATGCATTCACACATACAAAACTAAAATAAGAGAATAACAAAACAAACAAACAAAAAAAACTGAAAGATGAACACTCAATAATTCATGTACACACATAAACAGAAAACAAAAAATGAAAGAAGAAAGGAAAAAGAAAAAGAGGGAAAAGGGAGGGGATGAAAATCTAACCCTCGCATATACATTCCACACAAAGAAAAAAGAAAAAATTGTTTTTCTGGGTACTAAGTACCTTCTTGTACCTCTCAGCTGCTCAGAAGTAAGCCCCTCGACTGTCTCTTGTGGTGCTGTGGCCTCTTTAACAATCTCCTCAGTGACTGGCCCAGGGAAGGAGGTCGGGGCAGTGGAGATATGTGGGACTTCAGTCCTCCCCTCCCACTCTTGTATGGTCAGGGGGATTCCCTTTGGTGGGGAGGTGCAGGATTGTCTCTTCCCCAGGTAATGGTGGGGAGCACCCCAGCCAGGTTTATCTTGGAATAGACCCCTCTTATCATGGCTGATGTCCAGCTTCCACCTGGGCTTGTCCCTCTCACTTGTGCCCCAGCAGTGTGGGTCTGGTGTTCAGAGAATTGCTAGGGAGGAGGGAGTTGGGTCAGCATGGGACTCACCGCTGATCTCTTCAGGGATCTTCCTCATCCTTTTCTGGTTGCACCTTTTGTATCATGGCTGAATCTGGGTAGGGAGTGGGGTGACTGGTCCTGTCCCTCTGAAGTTTGTGTTTTCAGGATATTCCCTCCGAGTCATGATCAGTCCCTGAGTAATTAACCCACTGGTCACAGAGATCAGGTCTGTTGCTCTATGATGAGCAAGCTGGAGCACTTCCCTGTCCAGTTTCCAAGATGATGACAGGGTGCCTCTTTCCTCTTCCCCAATGGGGCTCTGCCTCTGGCTCTCTCACTGTGCTCCTTCCACAGTCCCTGCTGCCAGTGTCTGACCAGACACTGCAGTGGTAAGGCAGAGTTTAGAGTCGTCAGTCACTCCTGGTAGCTTCTTCCCAGGAAGGGCTTTGCTGATTTTAAAAAATGGCACTCAGCTTCTGTGCTCTGGAAAGCACTAAAGACCAAGCAGAACAGTTGTGGTACCAGCTGCTTCACCAAGAGACCCCTGGTCACTGGCTCCCAAGTCCCCACTCAGTCAGCCACTCACATGCCCACTTACTCACAGACACATATGCAAAACTGTCCATATAATCCCTCACTCACATTGGGATTCACATAGTCTGACTGGCCCCGCCACCATCTTCCCCTCTTCTTGCCTTCTATTATAAGTCAACAAAACATTATAGGTATTGGTCAATGACAATACTATTAAGGACTTAGCTGCATTTTTTCCAAATAGATAAAATTATACAATCAATAAAAGAAAAAAGTAAAATCCTTTTAGAATTTTCTCATTTCCTTCTTCTTCCATAAATAAGAAATAACCACTTTTATAGATCAAAAATGGTAAAATGTAAACAAATTCATATAGTTCAACCTATATCTGGCTAGTGTAGATGAAAATCATTCTAAATATTTACACTTACATGTCATAACTACCATAATGGTAGACATTTTTCTGCCTTTTTTTCAGGCTCAAAGTACATATCTAGTCTCTAAGCATATCTGAATCTTATATCTTCTAGTATTCCCTGTATTCAGACAACTTATGAACTACCAATGACAAAGGCATGAAGGGAAGATAGGAAAATTGAGAAGACAGCTCATTCTGAGACAACCTGTGTCTTCCTGAATTGATTTTTCTTTAGGAAATATAGCTTTTCAAAATTAGGCATTTTAGTTGGCAAAATTTCTCAGGTATTTGAAAAAGCTAAAACTACTTTCTTCAGTCAATATCATATAACGGTCATGTGAATGAAATAGTCATTTTAGACACTGGTTACTTACCCAACCTCAGGCATTATGGAAGTTAGTAGGCAATTTTTGAGACTTCCCTATGAATGCTTGGATAACAAAAAATAATAGTAAAAGGAAGTCTTCCGATTTCAACAACTACTTATCAGCATTTATCTGAAGTTTTACTGCTCTATGTTCCTTTTCACGTTCTAGAATCTGCAGTCCCAAACTGTAACATTCCCAGCAAGTAATAGGTAGATCTGGTGTCAAGAAGAACTATGTCACTGTGATGTGACTTGGTCATCTGTCTTTTTTTTTTTTTTTTTTTGAGTTGGAGTGTCACTTCATTACTCAGGTTGGAGTGCAATGGCATGCTTACAGTCACCCCAGTGTCAACCACTGGACTCAGGCGATACTCCCACCTCAGTCTTCCATGCACTACCATGCCTGGCTAATTTTTTGATTTATGGGAGAGATGAGGTCTTGCCAAGTTGCTCAGGCTGTTCTTGAACCCGTGGTCTCAGGCAATCCCCTCACCTCAGCCTCCCAAAGTGCTGGGATTACAGGCTTGAGCCACCATGTTGGGCTGGTCATCTTTCTTTTTGAAGACGATAAGAAGAACTCTATACCTCATGTCTGCCAGGTGAGATACAATGAAAATACAATTCCACCTCTTGCCTAAGAGGACCAGAAATTATGTATATATTTTCTAAAAGACCAACATAAAATGTTTCCGTATGATAACTCACATACCTCTCCATTTTTCTGATTCTAAGCTATTTTCTCTACTTCCAAGTGGGGGATTTTTCTCTAAGATATGCTTTAGGGTCACAGAACACATGCTCTCCGGGGTAGGTAGCTTCTAAATGGCCCTCATGGCTCCCCATCTCCTGGTATTCATGCCTTTGTGTGCTCCACTCCCTTGGATGTGGGTTGGATCTAGTGGTTTGCTCTTAATGAAGAGAATATGGCCAAAGTGATGGGGTATCACTTTGATATCGGTATTTAACAGACTGTGACATCTATTTTGCACTCTCTCTGGGCCTTCTTGCTTGCTCACTCTTATGGAAACCAACTGTTGCATTGTAAGGTTCCTTATGAAATGGGCTATGTCATAAGCAACTCAGGGTGGCTTCTGTCCACCATCAGTGAAAAACTGAGGGTTGGTCCATTGGCTCACCAGGCATGGACTCCATGCAACACCATGTGAGTGAGGCTTATGGTAGACCTTTTCCCACTCAAGCACTGAAATGATGATAGTCCCAGCTGACACCTGATTACATCTGTGTGAGAGACCCTGAGCTGGAAGACTTATCTCAGTCACACCTGGATTCCTGACCCACAGAAAAGTAAAACAATAAGTGGTGTTATTCTAAGTCACTAAGGTCTTGGGTAATTTGTTATGCAGCAATAGTTAATGAATATACTTTCTTTTCAGGCAATAACACCTACTTTAATTTCTGAAATTCTTCAACAAGATTTGACTTCTGCCCAGGAGACATTCTTGCAAAAATAGTTCCATTCACCAGAATCTGAAGAGAAAGACAAACATTGCAATAAGATTAGGAAGAATACTTTAAAAATCAAAGAGCAGCCCTGAAAAATCACTCCTGGTTACTGATTTAGTAGAGCATTGTTTGGTATGTCATCAGACCAAATGTCAGGAAACAAAATAAAAAAATTTAATGCTTTAATACTGGACTTCTACTTCAAGTCCTCTATCACAACTCTATTACTTTTGCTAGTCCATTTTTTCTAAGACGGGGTGACCTCTAATTAACAATAATACAGTAACTAAGAAGCAGCAGAGTATATGGAATAAAAATGCTTAGGAAACACAGTTTTTGTTTATTAGTCATTGTCTCTATGATTGCAGCTCAGGCATAGGAAAGAGCAATAGACTGGAAGTTGAGAAACAAGGTTCTGTTCTCAGCTGTGTCCCAAGTAGCTGTGCACACCTTTGACAAGTGACTTAACCTTTCCTGAGTCTCAGCTTTTCCAACTCCACAATGAGGAACTGAACTAAAAGCTTTCTAGAAGCTTTTGGGGTCTAGATTCTATGGTCCTCAGCTGGTAAGATGACAGAATTCTTAAGACATTGCTAACAGATGCCGGCTGCCCTCAACTTCTGCTCCATTAATCTCCTATACATTGACAGCACAACCCTGCACAGCACTATTTTAAAATAGGATACACAGAGGACAAGATAACAAATGATTTTGAAAATAGACCATGGGGCCTTTGTTTCTTCCTGCTGTAATTTAAGAATCTGGACAAGGAAGGGAATGGAGATCAGCCTGACACAAGTTGGTAGCTTTCAGAGAGCTGCTGACCCACAAAACAGGCAGCATGTTTGGAATCATCTGGAGGTTCTTCCAGGTGGGGAAGGAAAAAAGGAGGGAGGCAGAGAATGACCTGGCCACAGGGGCAAGAGGAGATACCAGATTTCACACTCTGTAGGAGAGGCTGTGGGTCTGCATGGGACTAGGTGGGTACAGGAAGAGCCAGGAAACTTCTATAGCAGCAGTGTCTCTTTGGTGGTGTTTATTCTCTAACTCTGAGACAACCTCAGTGATTGCCACTTTCATTATTCTCTTCTTCCTTTATGCCTCACTAATTTGAGGAGCAAAACAAAACGCTTCATTTCCCCAGTACTTACTTTTGGAAGCAAGCTGTTGAAATGCTGTAATATCACTTGGTATGATTTCCCACTCATTGCAAAATGGTAACAGTTCCCTCTTTCCCCATCAGATGTTGAACTATTTCCAATGTTAATATAGGTTTCCTAAAATCAAAAGGGCATTATTTCTACGTTGGCTTTTTAAAATGTCTCTGCTTTACAGGAAGTATATTTGTGTTGCATGATAGTGTGAGAGTCAGCAAAAACAAAATGTAAAATTTGCCCATAGAACTTTGACCATAGGAAGAAAACACTCAAAATGCCCTCCCCCAAACTACATAAACATATGATACTTTGACAATATGGTACTCTGGATTCTGTCCTGGAGGATTATACATGTGAAGTCAGACTACTGAAAAAAATCTACCTATTCCAAGTTTGCAATTAGTGATTACAAGGAAAATAGGAAACGTTCTCTCCACTTCTTCCTTCTCCTCCTCATGCAACTTTGTATTTTCAAAGATACCTTACCATTTATTTGTTCAAAAGTCATGCCCCAATTTGTTCACTGTAGAGAAGGCAGACTTGTCTGCACCTTACTCCTTTTAGCACCCAAACTCTGACCTCTGTTGTGTCCCTACCTCCACAGGTAACCCCTTCTCTCATAGTACCCAGATCGTCTTTCACACCCTACATTCCATTGCGCCAGAACAACTCCTTTTCCAAAACCCTTTGCCTGCTATCTTCACCTGTGAAAGTGTCCTTCTGGTTTAGTTCTAATCCCATCTGGCTCCCAACTAGAGAGAAAGCTTCTGATGAATACCTGTGCATGCATTATGTCAATAGCTGATAATGCTTTTCACGCAATATTTCTCAGAAAGCCTTCCATTTGTGTGAATTCTGAATTCAAATAGTATAGGAAGTGAGAAAATTGTATTCATTAGAGGAATTCACCTCTGTATTTGGAAGGAAAAAATCTAGTTATGCTGAATTGGGAGGCGAGATGCCACACTCCTCCCCTCTATCTGCAAATGCAAAACAATCAACAAAGACATGTTCTAAAGTATTCCCCAGGAGACAAGAATAGGAATTTCTTTTGCTTGTACTAGGAAGGTGAGGAGAGAGAATGTGGTGGAGGGAGGCAGACAGGAGGAGGAAGACCTGAGATAATAGCTATAACTGCTTCCAGTGAGGACCAAAACTTTGGTAAAGGTACTAAATTCACAGATGTGAGTGTACCGTTTGTCAACATTTGTGAATGACTTGAGTTTCATCATGCAGTGAAATTCAGGCAATACACCTTGATGCAGAAGCAAGTGGGTAAGAAATAAGCACCAGAAATCTGCTAAAAGCATAGAGATGTCATCTTTCACAACCCATACTATTGGAGTTTGGGCTCAGTTAACCCACCTCTTCCCAGGGCAGGGGCAAGGTCACTCTGTACAGCTGTGCAGCTTGTCTACTACACAAAGACTCCAGACTGCACAAAGGCACTCTATACTTGACAATCTGGAAGGCTGGTCAGCCTGAAGGAAGGAAGCATTTTTGTAATTCATCACCTGGAGGGCCATCTCTTTGAATTCACACAAAAGCATGAGGTGCCGCATTAGTGATGGAATGTGATTCTGCAGCCCTTTCTCACCATATGAAAGAGCTGTTCTGTCACAAGCGCATAGGGAGCTTGCTATCAGAGAACCCCAACCTCTGTTCACTTCATGTCACAGGTAGAGTACAATCGAGATGCCCATGGATTTGTGTGAAATCAAACAAACCTGAGTCTCGTTTCCTGCTCTGCAACTCACCAGTTTTTGTATTGGGCTAGCTTACTTCTCCGAAGCTTTTTTTTCTCATTTGTAAAATTAAGAGTTTGCTCAATTGCATAGGGTTATTGTAAAAGCAAATGAAAAATATGGGTGCAAAGCAGTAGTTCTTTGCCATGACTGAACATTGAAATCGCAGGGAAAGCAGCTGATGCCAGCACCCACCCCAGGGGTTCTGATTTAATTGGTGCAACCTGCATTGGGAAGCTTAAAATCTCCCCCAGATGATTTTAATGTTCAGCCAGATCTGAGAAGCAAAGCATGGTGGAAATGGTTTGCAAACTGTAAAACTCTAGGCAGATGTGAGGAATTATTACTGTAATGATTTCTAGAGCCGAGAGAAGGCTGTGCAGTACAAAGGCTGTATTCCATCAGCCCAGGCCCATTGAGGGGCCTTCTAACATTTGCTCACATTCTTCTCAGATCCATTTTCTTGGTTCTCTACCAGCTGCCAGGTCACAGAAGCAGGAACAAACTCTTCTGGCTCATTGGCTTCGACAACAATCACTTGGCTGCCTTGAGGAATCATTTCAGAATTCTTTGCAACGGTAATGGCCGTTTGAAGGTTGTCACCTGAAAGACAAAGAAACTCTGCTTGCTTTATTATGTGCAAACCTCTCAGTAATAAGAACTGAGCTCTCCCTCTTCTACTTTGCTTGATGCTTTTGGGGGAGTATTTATTGTTTTTTGCCTTATTTCATAACCATTTATCTTCCCCTCTACCCTAGACTGTCTGCCACTAGTGGACAAACACTAGGGTCCCATCTCTCTCCTGCAATATTTAGCATTGTATCCTGTCCATTGTGTATTTCCAAAACATGCATGAATGAATGAAGAAATGTTTATGCACTCATAACTAATCCCCAGAAAACAGACAGACCTTGGTGGTGAACATAATATGATCCCAGTCTGATAGCATAAAATCACCCAGGTTCTGGAATCCAGATAAGAAAAGAGCACTTAGGGCCAGGGCAAGGTTTAGGTTTGATGATCATACATCATGCCTGGCCCTAATGCCCTGGAAAGACTGATCATTAGAGGCTCTCATCCCTTACACAGAGGTCTCACTGGGATTCTTGATGAGAGCCTTCTGTTCTTGTGTTTAAACATTTACTGTGACTGTGAGTTTATGAGCACTGCACAGATCCAGGGTGGGAGGAGTAGTCACTAAACAAAGGGAATGGGACATGATCCCTTCCTCCAAAGCTCCTGGTCCAGTTGGGGAGCCACACATGTTCTCAGGGAACTAACATTGTTCTTTCTGCCTCTATCACATGAACTCACTCAGCCCACATGCTTTTTTTTTTCCCCCTTATGCCTTGGATATGATCAACTTGTCAGGCCTCTAGAAATACACACATACCTGTAATCATCACAGTCCTGATGCAGGCCTCACTCAGTTCCCTTAGGACAGGTTTGGTTTCCTTTTTCAAGCGATTCTCCATTATGAGAAGTCCCAGAAATGTTAACTCTGACTCCACTTTCTCTCTTTGGATTCAGAAGAAAAATCAGTGTCACATATACTCATGTGGCCTCAACAGTTCAATTTATTTCTTCTTTTAAAAAGTTCTTTTTGGCCGGGCTCGGTGGCTCAGCCTGTAATCCCGTGCTCTGGGAGGCCGAAGTGAGTGAATTGCCTGAGGCCATGGGTTCAAGACTTCATCTCTACAATAAATCAAAAATTAACCGGGCATGGTAGCACGTGCCTGTAGTTCCAGCTACTTGAAAGGCTGAGGCGGAAGGATTGCCGGAGCCCAGCAGGTCGAGGCTGCGGTGGCCGGGAGCATGCCACTGCACTCCAGCCTGGGCGGCAGAATGAGACTCCAACTCACAAAAAAAAACAAAAACAAAACCAAAAAATTCTTTTTAAGTTTCATTAATGTAATACATGCCCATGTTTAAAAACCTCAAAAGGAACTCAAGAGCCTATTATGAAAACCAGTAGTCTGTCTCTCCACACCACTTCCCTCCTCTCCTTCCAGATATGGCAACTTCTCAATCTTTTAGTGTTTTATCCAGTTCTCAACTCCATTTTTAAAAACAACGTGCTTATCATTCAACTCTTCTGTTGGTTTTTTAAAAATATGTTTTTATTTTATTTATTTTAAAGATGTATGGTACAATTCAGGGTTAGGTATAGAAATGCTCATTATGCAGGTACCCTTGCTGATGAGGTGTGCCCCTCCCAGGCAATTTCCTACGACTGCCAATCCCACCCCCTCCTCCCTTTGCAGTTTCTCACTACTGCCAATCTTTTTCTTATAGCATTATGATAATTGTTCAAGGTCTGCTTATGAGTGAGAACATGTGATACTTAGTTCTTTGTTTCTGTGATAGATCACTCAACATTATAGACTCTAGGTCCATCCAAATTGCTGCAAAGTACATAATTTTATCCTTCTTTATGGCTGTGTAATATTCCACTGGGTATATGTACCACATTTCTTTTATCCAGTTCTCTTTCGGTGGCCAGCATGTTAGTTCCATGTTTTTGCTATTGTGAATAATGCTGCAATAAACATGTGTATGCAGGTATCTTTTTCACAGAGTGCCCTTAGTTCCTCTAGGTATATTCCCAGTAGGGGGATTATGGGGTCATATGGAAAGTCAATTTTTAGATCTTTTAGGAATAGTGGTTTTAAAATATTATGTTAATCATGCACATTTTAAATTTTCAAAGCATTTTCTCTTTCTTTCTTTCTTTTTTTTTTTTTGAGTTTGCAATCATTTCAGTTTGTTTGACTATTTATTAAGGGCATCCAGCATACATACAAGACACTATGGTAATAGTTGAACGTGGGGTCATTCACCTTAGCCTCTACCTGTCACCTCCAATAAATATGTGAAATCAGCCAGGGCTCTGAAGAGTTTTCAGAATAAGAAACTGGAGGCTTTTAGTCTAGCTGATTGCATTAGTTATGTAGGACTTTTCCTCTGAAATGAATAAATCTTGGGTGACTTTTTTAAATGTAAATTTGGGGACCAAGAGTTTTTTTCTTAAACTTTCATCGTTCATTTTTCTGTGTAGAGTGGGGTTACAATTAGGGGGAGAAGAAGGCAGAGGAGAGACTTAAAGATCAATTTCTGTGAATACTGTCAATTAATCCCTCTATGGTAAGCCCTGAGTCTCACCTCTATCTTCCATAGCACCTGACATATCTGAGTCTCAGCCTCTCTGAGGCTGTCCAAGGCTAAACAACTTTCCTATTGCTACTTTCTCTCAGGCTCTGGTGTAGGTCATAGCTTCTTCTATCCTGCAGATTCAGCGACTCTTCCTCCACCAACTCTACATGTTATAGAATTGTGTTGGAATCTCTGATGTGCAGTTATCAATTAGTTTCCTTTGATATTGATTATTTACTATTAGGTTAGTATGACTTGGGTTGAAGAGGAAATAAACATGTGGTCAGTAAGACTGCTTTAAGAGAAAGATGAGAGTTGGATTTCTTGATGAGAAATATAATTCAAACCTGGATGGGGACACAAATGAAGTAACTTCTCTCTGGAGTAGAGTACAAATTGCTACATCATTCATTCAAAAGTCCATTTACTAAATAACAACCTCATTTTACATCTTGTATCAGGCACTTGGTGAATACTCAGATAAGCAAATATGGCATTGTCTTAGTGATCTCAGAGAATAATATAAAATTTACCTAATACGGAATTTATTAAAGACTCTTCCCATCATTTAACTTCTTCTCACCAATTTATTCTGATTTGCTTGTTATTAAAACATTTTTTATTTTATTTTGAACAGCTTTGTTGAGTTGTAATTGTTATATAAAAACTGCACATACTTAATGCATACACTTTGATGGATTTGAGCAATATGCATACACCTGTAAAACCATCATCATAATCAAGGTAATAAATATATCCATCATATCCCAAAGTTTATTTCTGCCCTGTTTTATCTGTCTGTGTGTGTGTGTGTGTGTGTGTGTGTGTGTGTGTGTGTGAAGGACATTTCTTTAGAACTAATTTATCTTGCATAACTGAAATTTTATACCCATTAAACAACAACTTTTTTTTTTTTTTTTTTTTGAGTCAGAGTCTCTGTCGCCCAGACTGGAGTTCTGTGGCCACTCCCAGCCACCGCAGCCTCGACCTGCTGGGCTCCTGCGATCCTTCCGCCTCAGCCTTCCAAGTAGCCGGAATTACAGGCGCGCGCTACCACGCCCAGCTAATTTTTTTTTTTAATTTTATTGTAGAGATGAGGTCTCGCTGCCCAGGCGGGTCTTGAACCCGCGGGCTCTGGCAATCCACTCACCTCAGCCTCCCAAAGGCGCGGGATTACAGGCTAAACAACAATTTTCTATATCCTCCTCCCTCAAGTCCTTGTTTTCCACAATTCTACACTCTACTTCTATGAGTTTCACTATCTGAAGTGCTTCAGATAAGTAGAATCATAAAGTATTTGTCCTTCTGTGACTGGATTATTTCACTTAGCATGATGTCCTCCATTTTCATTTATGTCATCTCATATGGTAGGAATTTCTTCTTTGTAAGGGGGAATAATATTCACTATACGTATATATTACATTTTCTTTGACCATTCATTACTGATGAACATTTGGGTTGTTTCTATATCTTGCCTATTGCGAATGATGCTGCAATGAACATGGGGGTGCAGATACTTTTTTTGAGATTCTAATTTTAATTCCTTTGGAATACCCAGAAGTGGGTTTGTGAATTACTATATCACATAGTCATTCTGTTTTAAATTTTTTGAAGAACATTTGCACTGTTTTATATACCAGCGACACCATCTTACATTCTTACCAGTTGTGTACAAAGGTTCCAATTCTCTATATCCTCATCAACATGTGTTTTCTCTTGTTTTTGTTTCAAATAGTAATGTGAGGTAATCTCATTGTTTGAATTGTATTTCCCTAATGATTAGGGAAGTTGAGTGCTTTTTCATATATGTGTTGGCCATCCCTATGTCTTTGCAGAAGTACTATTCAAGTTATTTCCCCTTTTTTTGATTGGGCTTTTATCATTGTTGTTGTCATTGAGTTGTGCTATCAATGCATTTTGGATATTAATTCCATATCAGAATTATGTTTTGCAAATATTTTCTCCCATTTTATAGGAGAGTTGTTTTAGTGTTGATTGTTTCCCTTACTGGGCAGAAGCTTTTCAATTTAATGTGCATTCTCCCAAAATAAAATTGAACACTTAACTTACACTGTACACAAACATCAACTCAAAATGGATTAAGGACTTAAACATAAGACCTAAAACTTGACACTACTAGAGGAAAGCATAACAGAAAATCTTCTTGACATAGTCTTGGCAATGATTTCTTGTATATGACACCAAAAGCACATGTTTTTTTACTTAAGTTTTATGGCACGTCTTCTCATTCACTACTTGAGGCACTTTGGCTTCTTGCTACTTTATAACATTCTCAGCAATGCTTGTGTCAAGGCCTTTCTGCCCACTATTTCTATTCTCTGCAATGGCCTTCCTTTGGATATCCACATGAAGTAAGGCTCAGACCTCTGTCAAACGTCACACCTCAGAGGACTTCACTAATTGCCCCATGCAAAATGGCATTCTGCCTTTTAAAAAAGTCCTCTTAACCTGCTTCCTCCCTAAAGGGCATTTAAGAGCCACTAGTGAGAAACGATATTTTATAGATTTATTTTATTACTTATTTCCCCCAATTAAGATCTAAGATTCATGAAGGCAGAGATTTTATTTTATTCACTTCTGCATAAATTCTCAGTTCCTTGAGCATCTAACACAGAAATTTGCTAAACCAGTAAATGGGTGAATTTTGAGGAACTATTTCTTCTGTTTTTTTAGTTTGGGATGATACTCTTTTTTATTTTTATTTATTTATTTATTGGAAAGCAGGATTTACTGAGAGGAAAGAAAAGCTCCCAGTGTGGGAGGGGACTCAAGGGGGTTGCCCGATACTATTTTTTAAAGACATCTCAAGAAACACCTACTTCCCCATTATGATTTCAGTTTTTTAGAAGTTTTAAATTTTATCTTAATACTGTAAGAAAAGGATTGGCAGCCAGGCTCGGTGGCTCAGCCTGTAATACCGCGCTTTGGGAGGTTGAGGTGAGTGGATTGCCTGAGCCCGTGGGTTCGAGACCTGCCTGGGCAACTGGGTGAGACCTCATCTCTACAATAAACCAAAA